TGAGAGACCTGGGCATTTTCAGCCTCCAGAGGAGATGAGGGAGGGTCCAGGGGAAGAGAGATAAGACAGCGCTCCGCTAGTACTTGAGAGGCTGTCACAAAGAGGAAGGCCAGGGTCTCTTCTCAATCATCCCAGAGTGCAGGACACAGAAAAACAGGCTCAAGTTCCAAGCCAGAATCAGGCTGGGTATCAGGAAAAATTTCCTGACTGCACTGGTCTACCAGGTGAAAGCCTCAGAAATGAAAGTGGCTACATTTTACCAGAATTGGGTCACGGAAAACTAGGTAACTGGGTAACAGAAAATTGGGTAACGGAAAACTAAGTCCTGAGTATTAATTGGCTCCAGTTTCCAAGATACAGCTTCAGGCAAAATTGCACCAAAATAATTCAAAATTATGAGGGGTGTGTGTGTTTATTGCTCCATAACTTTCAGCAAAATGTAATATAGCAATGAGAATGGTGCCACACTAATCATTATAAATTTATCTTTTCATTGACACCAATAACGTAACTTTCCATTCATTTACTGGTTTTTCATGTAACATTTTCAAGCTTTTTGCATGAAAAACTGACAAGCTGTAACATCAGACTTAAACGACAAGGTTCCATCTTTATTCAGAATCTAAACTGCGCTTTTTGGCTTTTCTCTTGTGAACTGCAATAGGATCATCCCTGGAGAGATTCCAGCAGTAATTGACAAGCATCGATGGACTCCATTTCCCTTGGTATCTTTTCTCCATGCCTGCGATATCCTGGTGGAATCTCTCCCCATGCTCATCACTAACTGCCCCATAGTTCAAAGGGAAATGCGGGTGTAAGAAGTGAATTTTCAGTGACATGTTTGCACCAAGTGCTTTATAGGACCATGTTCCACTTCTTTCCTGAAATCCCTTTTGCAATTGGGGGAACCATGCAAAAATAGCAGTCACTACTATGATTGGTGGGTTCCCCCCCTCCGCCCCGCACCATTGAGACTGGGAAAGACAACATGTCAAATGGATGTTGGAAATGCAAACATAAACCAGGTACTTTTTATCATATGTGGTGGACTTGTGATAAGGCAAAAAAATATTGGGCTAAAATGCATGAATGGCTTAAGGAAATGTTACAAAAATCTTTAATATTTAAACCTAAAGTCTTCTTACTAGGCATTGTACCTGATGATGTTGATAAACAAGCAATGTATTTGATTCTACATGTAATTACTGTGGCAAGGATTGTATTTGCCCAACATTGGAGGAGCGAAGAACCACCCACTGATGAACTGATTTTAAAAAAGATTCTGGACTGTGCTGAAATGGGCAGACTGACTTTGTCTCAGAAGGAGAAAGAGGATACATACTTCTATCAAACATGGAACTCTTTTTATTAATGGCTAGGGAAATGGGACTATGCGTAGATTTGTATATGTCTATGGATTGCTATAAAAAAAGTAGGACTGATGTTTCTGATGATTGATGGTTTTTAGTTTCTTTAGTTTGTAGAAAATAATAATAAAATTTACTTTAAAAAAGAGACTGCGAAAGGCATGGACTTTTCCTTCTTGTTAGCCAATGACGCAGATCAGTGGTACATGTAATGCAACAATAATGGGGGGCCCAACTCTTGTCCTGAGCCCCTATTTGGCATCCAGAATATAGGTGGTTCGCCTTTTTTACCACTGCCCTCATGCTGCATTGCTGAGATGCAAATGGCACCTCGCCACAAATGCAGCAGAAGTTCTCTATGTTGTTTGCACAGTTTCGAGGCATCTTGCTTCTGAGGGAAAATATCGCACAACTGTTCCTTGGAAATGTTAGGCAATGACACTTTCACAAGCCACCAGCTGTATCTGTAAAAAAAAAACCCAGGTGGAGAGCAAGCCATGCATAAAGGAGGTGAACTTAATGCAGTGAAGAAGCCCGATACAGAAGCCCTGAGAAGCGGTGGATTAAAAGTCCTATGCAGAAAAAGCTTTGTGTTGTCACTACTTGAACAAAAGAGCCTTCTTCATACTACCCTTGATAACACGTTTAACTGTGGCCATTACACCATCGGCTACGAAAGGAACACTTGAGCCTGCAGTACATGCTTATATGTGAATCAGTCCTAAACATGAGCGTATCAGGTGCCCCCATGCCTGCCTTCCTGCGGTCCAGACAGTGGCTCCAGTCAGATGAAGTGAACTATTTATTTATTTACTTATTTAAAACATTTTTATGCCACCTCCATCGCAACAAAGCCTCGGGGCGGCTCACAACAAGAACAAAATATACAAATATAACAAATTATACAATAAAAATATTAAAACCAGGTGCATCTCAGCTAAAAAGATTTAAAATCCTATAAATACCAATAAATTAACAATGAAAATAAGTTTCAGATAAAAAGATCTTAGCCTGGTGCCAAAAAACGACGGCGCCAGGCAGACCTCTCTGGGGAGTGCATTCCATAGGTGGGGTGCCACCGCAGAGAAGGCCCTCCTCCAGGTACTCACCCTCCTAATATCATTCATAGAGGGTTCCCGGAGAAGGGCATCTGTTGCTGAACTACACCCAACACACCTCTAAAGGATGGGAAATCGGCTGCCCCAAAGGGTTATCGCTTGGTATCATTCCAAGTAGGAAAGATCCAAATGCATTCGGTTGCTGTGCAGAAACATTTGAATATATTGAAGCATCTATGTTGGAAAGGAAGTTTGGGAGGGCAATATAACTATCATAGGATGGCATCTTGAAGTTTCTTGGATGGAATGCCATTAAAATAAGTTAGAATTTAGAAAGGCATGTCTTGAATGCTGTTTTGAAATGCAGCTCTCCAAACTTCATCCTATAGCCCGCTCAACATGTCTCAGAGCTTTTCAGCAATTGCACGGTGGTGCTAACAGGGAACCAATTCCATCATCTCCCCAGAACAAAGCGTTTCGAAGTTCAGCCTTTCAATTTCTCTCTCGTCTTCTCAAAAGGAACATTTTCCTCTATATTCCCTCTGCAATTGGCACCAAAAGCAAAGTGCTGCCGTGTTTACCCAATAGTCGAAGTTCTAACACAGAGACATCAGAAAAACAACATTACCAATAAACTACCAGTTTGGCTCCCAAACTGTAATTTTCTATAGTTCAGCAGCAAGGTGGCCCCCACCCCCTTCCAGAAGTTACAGCTTCTATGGGGGATTTGACTCTATTTATTTCTCCATTATTGGTGCCCAGAGAGTATCCCCACGATGTAAAAAGAATTTATATGAGTTCTGGCCCATATAGTCTAAGGCATTCTGATGGCGGCTCCATGGCCTTCCAATATATTATGGTGCCTGCTGACAAACAGCGCAGGAGGGAAAAGTAAAACAAAACACAAAAATATGGCCAGCCTGTACAACTGATTAATACGACTTTTTATGGCAAACAAGAACTACCCGGGGGCCCCCTTGGCTTAGCAACTGCTATAAATCTGTGTGTTCGATGCTGCAAGTCAAATGACAAAACGTTTTTTCTCTGCTTGCAAACAGACAATAAATTATTTTGGCTACTACATATGTTCAGGCCAGCTATAAACCCTGGCCCCCTCACTGCAGAAGGAAAAAATGGGAAAAGCATCAGACTTCAGCATCTCCTGGCAGGGTGAAGCCGAACTGGGAACCTTGGAGGGGTAGGGCCAGGCAGTATAGACAGACAGGTTGGTCTAAGCCAGCCTTGTTCCTATGCCCCTGCCCTAAAAGCCAACCTTCTCTCTTAAAACATTTCCCATGTCTTTTCATCCCCCATTGCATTTCCTGTGCATTCCAAACTAAAGAGCAGTTTTGGGCGCTAGTTCATGAATGCTGGAAATTCGTGATGTTGAATACTTTGGAACCAATGCTAAGGACGAAAGCAGCTTTCTTGCATAGATGGATATGTTTTGTAGAAATACTAGTCCATGTAAATTACTATCCAGAGCATGGATGAGCAATATGTAGGGCAATCTTTTTTTAACAGGCACTGTGGCTAAGTATTACACAATGGCAGAGGAAACCCCCCAAAGGTATGACTTTTTGTTTGTGCCTTGTTCTAAAATAAACCATCCCTTCGCTTAATACCATCCTGCTGAATTGTGGCAATTGCAGGACACTTGAAGCGGATATGTATTTTGGACTATCCAAGAACCACTGCCCTTGGTTCTTGGCTTGATCTGTTCTCCTCTGCTCTTCCTCCAAAATAAGCAACACTCAGACCCTTTATGTGATTCCAAAAAAGTGAGTCCTTTGGGGCTGACCCCAAACAAGGACAATTTGCTGGCTAGGTATGAGCCAGGAAGCTACATGGCGACAATAGAGCTGAATGGGATCAGAACCTTGGCTTAGAGCGAAAGGTCACTCGGTACTACTAGCAAGAGATGTACATCCAAGGAAAAGTCCAGCATCTTCAAGTTCTCCCAAATCCCACCTTGAAGCTTGCTTTGCCTCATATCCATATGAAACAAGAAGCCCTTTTGGTACCAAAATCCATGCCTATTTTTCCCAGATGTGTGTAACTTTGAAATCTATGCATTCTTTTCCCATTGACTGGCATTTTTGTGTGCATGTTTCATAAATGTGTTTTTGTTTTTGTCCATAAATCATACCGGAAGCTCAGAAATGTATGGACTTTGACCACAGATCCCATCTGAGATCATGTTCCATCGAGGAGATAAGAAATGTATAAAGCCTAAACAAGCTCAAATGACCTTTTTATCCAACCCGTTCTAGCCCTTTTTCAGGAAGAGGCGGTACCTTTTGCAGAAGAGATCTCTCTTAGTGGTATATTACATACCCTGCACGCAGATGTCCCAGACTGAAAGCTCACCATCTCCTTGCAGAGCTAGGAAACAAGTCCTGTCTGAAGCTCTGGGCAGCCACTGTCCATGGAGGGGATACTGAAAGAACACTCAGTGGATTGGCTCACCATAAGGTGGTCTTGTGTTGTCTCTAATTATGCTTTATAAACCTACCTCTTGGGAACCCAGCAAACCAAGGACATTTGAGGCAACTGATGAACCAGCCACACACAATCCTGCTGGAACTGTGTATTTTTATTTGAAACAGAACTATAGCTTCTGTTTCTTCCAGCACATAGCACTAAACGCTTGTACATCTTTGCGAGGTGACGCATTATCTGCAAAGGAGTTGCAGAATATTATGTACAGTTGTACCTTTTTAATTTAAAAAGTCACTTTTTAACATAATATTTTACCAGACGGTCCTATATTGTGGCAGAATAATTAAGTAATTGTGTAAAAACAGGAGTCACAAGAAATATCGGCTGGGTGGGAGTAGCAGAATGCACATAGTTTTGTCATTAAGCCGGTTTTGCTCTTTCTGATTTGAATAACAAAAAACCTCCACGGAATGTGACATTTTTAAAATGCCACTCAAGTCAAGTTCTTCAGAACTGCCCATGCGCTTTAGGTCCACTCCATTTAAAGCCTCTTTCTGGTGCCAAGGAAGAAACTTTGTATGCTTTAATTATTTTAAGATGTAACATTTGTTTATCCTTGGTACATGGTTAATACATCCAGCCATTCAAGAGATATATTCAAGATCACGGAAGTTCTTCAGTCCACCTTCACAACGCTGTAAATCTTACTAACAAACCAGAAGCAAGCAAAGAATCCAATTGTTCCTAAAAACCAAGAAGAAATTGAAAAGTTAAGATGTTTGTACCTTCCCACATTTTCCTGGAGAGAATCACGCTCTAGAGCAGAGGACTTCTGGCCAGGCCCTGGTTGATGGCCTCTTTCATACCTGCTGGTATTTTTGTTTTAATCATGCAAGTGCTAAATCAAAGGGAGCTTTGGTCTGAGCATGAAAACTACATGCACACCCTTAAAAGCAAGACAGCAGTATATCACATCCGTTCTGCTTCAACCAGTTTGGAAAATTTAATATACGAGAACCACCCAGAGAGCCTTAGCTATCGGGTGATATAAAAATGAAATAAACAGGCATGCAAACAAGCACATGGACCTGTCAGTCTTAGTAAGTTGTGCTCATTCACGTACACTTTGGACTGAACCCCAGAATGGTTCCAAAAAAGCAATGGCGCAGATGAGCAGGAAGCTGGAATTCCCGCACCGCCAAGTTACAGGTCCCAAAATCTCCTTTGCAGGCTTCCTAAATGCCCAAGGGGATCCTAGCCTGCTGGTCCAACCTCAACACCTTAGCTCAGTTAAGATGCCTGCAAAGGGTCACACTGAGAGTCAGTGTGGTGTCGTGGTTAAGGGCATGGGACTGGGACTCAGGCGATCTGGGTTCTAGTCCCCATGGAGCCAACTGGGTGACTTTGGGCCAGTCACAGACTCTCAGCCCAACCTACCTCACAGGGTTGTTGTTGTGGGGATAAGATGGAGGAGGAGAATGATGTAAGCTGCCTTGAGCCCTTTGTAGGAAAAAGGCAGGATAGAAATCGCAATATAAATAAATGGGTTACAGTGGTCCTGACCCAGGCTTGGTGGTCCCGACTACATGCAGCCTCCACATCTGTACACACCTTGTGCCTCTTCTCCGACATCCCATGTGAAGTGCAGGTGCCAGAAATGGGGTACCAGCAGAGGTGAAGCCAGCCGGTTTGGTCTTTGCCCCCATCTCAGTGTTCACGCATATGAGGTCACAAGAGCTTGCCTGGGTAGTGAGACCGGGCTTACACCGGAAAGTGAGGTAAGTGCCGTTTAAATAAAACACAGAAATAAAGGGATTGTGTGGAACTACAGGGCTACTGCCGATGCAGCTCTCCCTGCCTGAAGATTTCCATCGGCAACCATTGGCCCAGCAATCCCCAGCTGCACCAGGCAATCCTGACGTTCTTTAGAGGCTTACCAGGGAATCGCCATTGAGAAGCTTAGCAAGAGCAGGCTCCCCCGAGCATTAATCTCCTCCTGCGGCAGAGCAGGGACTCTGGGCTGGGAAGACGGGGTGGGAAGACACTGAGGCTGCTGCAGGCATTCCCCACTCCACTCTCCCACACTCCCAGGACCCTCACGCTTGTGCCACTTGTCCCGGGTGCCGGGATGTTCCATAATCTCTCTTAGAAAGCAGGTTTCAAGAGAAGCATAACCTTGCCGTCCGAACCGCAACCCTTCCCCGTGCCTGTCAGACCAGGTTCACAGCCACTACCAACAAAAAAGTTGTCCTTGCCAAGGGGAACAGAAGATGCAGCACCACTCGCCCGCACCTGGTTGCTTCTTCCAGCCCCACGTCCTGCAACTCCTTTTCCTAGTGAAAGCTTGCTTCCCCTACAGGCTGCCATTGCGTCTTGCAGATTACCTTCTTGCTCTAGGGTTGCGGTGCTCATCCTCTCACAGTGGGGGGGACGGCTGATTTACTGCGCTTGATAGGAGATCATACGCCAGCCACGAAAGGCATTTAATTCCTTTACGGGCTCAACAGCTCCAAGCCCTTCCAGTTTACGGGTGACTCGCACTGTGTGCGCAGCTCTTGCTGGCACTGAAGTGACCTCTGCAGTCCCTGGGGTCATACCTGGAATCCCCCTTTCTAATTTCTCCAGGTAACCCCCTACCCATCTTGTGCAAACTCTTATACACAAACGCTCAGGGGGTTTTCCGCTGGCTGGATAGCAGAGAGCATGTTTTGGAGCCTTTAAACAAACATTTCAGGCCCTGAGCACTGCTGTCAAATGCTGAAGCACCAGCGCAATTAAGCCTGATAGATGGTTTCCAGCTATGCTCAGTGTCACCTGAAGATGAGCTTGACATAAACATACTGGGGACATTCATTACAATCACAAAGATATACAGTAATCATAAACTGTATACTCAAATTGTACTTTAACTGATTTTATTGTTGTGCCCGTGATTGTAAGCTGTCCAGAGAGCCCTTTTGGCTAAGGGTGTGGCATATAAATTCAATAAAAAATAAGATTTACTGAGATTTCAAACAAGTGGAACACCTACAGATCCTGTTAGATGAACAACATGGATGTTCTTGTACATGCTCTGAACCAGAAGCCAAATTCTGCTTCTAAAGTCTCCACTGTGGTACAGAGACGGGTCAGAATTTCATCACTGCGGAATTACTACAAACCAAGATCTCCTTTAGCCAAACCACAGTGATTTAGTGATACAGTAGTAACAGCAAGGAAACTCGAAAAGGCTGTTGAACTATCGGAGCTCAGCGGTCACTGCCAGCACCAAAACCTGTGATCAATTAGTATGAGCAAAAGGTGTAATTGGAAACATCAGGCCACATCACTTCCGCTCCCAGCATGGAGGGGACATTTTGGCAAATCCTGCTCTTTCAAGCACCTCCCTCCCTACAGATGGGTCGGTAGCTCCCCCATTCAGCCTCAATCCCATATCAAAATGAAATGAAATGCCTATCAGGAAAAGAACATTTCTGAAGGCAAAACACAACACCCTTGCAGGTGAGGACAGAACCTTCTCAAGAACCTGCAAAGGCTTCTTGAGAAATTCAGGACAGCAGATAAGAGGAGATATGCTGCCCTTCTCCATGAATGTGCAAGATCCCCTTTTACAGCTGTACAAACCGGTGGCCACCAATACATCTTGCAGAAAGGAAGATGGGTTTATCAGAGGTTAAAGGCTGGGATAGTTGGATCACCAGTCCCACCAAGAAAGGAGCTCTTGTTCAGTGTTTAAGGAGAGAAGTGGAAAACTGAAGGTCAGAACTTAAGTTTGGTATAGCACCAATCTCCCTGATGTAATCTTCTGGAGTTCATTTTTGCCATGGATCATGAGATAAATTGGAAGATGCTAGGCTTCAGTGAAGAGGTCCATTTTACTCAGGCAATGAACAGCAGTGACTTTTAGGTGCTGGCCTGAACAAATGCAGACACAGTCTTTCCGACGCTGCTCTTCCTTTTGACAGCTTTGCAGCAAACCCATCCAGCTACACCACTGGCAAATGGGATGCTTCAAGTTCGTATGATTTTTTTTCCAACAGCCAGAATGTGATTCCCTCCTCAGCAAAGACACTCAGCTAAGTGCACTCGGGCCAACCCCTCAACATCTTCTCTTTGAGCATTTGTCCTTGACCTCTGCAAAACATTCTACAGACGTGACCACAGAGCAAATCAGCAACAATTTTAGGCTGCGCACTCTGTGTTAACCTGGAAAAATGCTGATGCTTGCCCAGCTGGATTTTCATGCTTGGTGTTTTTAAAAAGACATGGTATCACCAGATCAAGACAGACCCAAACACTTGAACGGAGGCTGCCAACATTCCACCTGGTTCTGCGCCATGTTAATGCAGGGGGAAAATTCTAAGCACGGAGCAAATGCAAGGAAACAAAATGGAGCACATTCTACACTCCAGCGATACATATTGTGCCTGAGAACACTTTGTATCATACTGCTTTCAATCAGTGGTCGCTGCTTTCAGACTCTGAAATTCTAAACACAATTTACTTGGGAGATCAAAACTGAGTTTTGAAAATGGCATTAACTCCCAAGTGGAAATGATGATCACAAAACGGAGGGCATGAGGTAGTCACATACTTCGACTAAATGCAGCATTTTTTTCCTCTATCCAAGAGCACTAAGGATGGCAGTAATCATAAAGCTATCCTAGCTCAAAATATACTCATTCACTTACCATATTATTACCCTCAATATCATATTGCAAATTGCTAGCTCCAAGTTAAAAAGAAAAAAAGAGAAGAAAGAAGAAATAATAATGACAAGGAACAGTGGGCTGTCAGGCCAGAGCAACAAATTCTTCCAGTGCCCCCTTGGGCTATGGGGGGAAGGCCCCGCGAGACATCAAAGGAAAAGACTGGGAGTGGGAAGAGAGGCTTAGACTCAGCTACATCCACCCCACGTGGAGCCAGAAAAGCTATGGTGCTCCCAGGGGAGTGGCACTTCGTACCCTCACCGGGAGCAGTTTGCCTGCACATGGAGCCCACTGAGATAGGCAAACAGAGGGCACACGCCTGAGATATCGGAGTGGCTCAGTACCCAGGGGAGCACTGGCAGAAGTCACTTCTCTGCTCAAGTCCCAGAATCAGTGCTTCTTCCAATCAGAGTATTAAAGACGGGCGGATACTGAAGGCCGTCCAGAGAGCACACCGCTAGTGCGCCGCCCTCAAATAAATTCAATAACTAAATAAACTTAGATATTCCTAGAATGGTTGCTTTGCATTTCTCACGAAACTAGTTCACGTAAAGAGTTTTGAGCCCAAATGGGAAACTTCTCCCTGTCCTTCCTTTTCATCCACCACTGGTGGAGAGCCAGCCAGAGACCTACGCAAGTCGTCAAGCTGAGTAGCTCATCTTTTCCAGGGCTGTCTTTTTACAGGTTCAGGGACCAGGCAGGGCTACAGCAGCCCCTCCTCTCCTGGCTCCCCTCCTGCCACTTCCAAACATGCTGCTCTCATGGTCAGCCTGGGAAACTGAGGGCAGTGACCTGGATGGAGCTGCAAAGGATCCTGCCCCCTTTGCTCCCCCTGCCCTCCCATCTCTTCATCCCTGTCTTCTTCTGAATCTGGTAACACAGACCCTTGGAGAGTCAGCAAGGAGTGAGTGCCCGGCCCACTCGCTACATCCAGTAGAACAGCAACTTTAAGACCAGGCTCAGAGAACACCTTCCACTTCGCCAAAAGAGGCTGTCGGGGCCGGGGGGGCCGGGGGGGGTCTCTTCACCTTTCCTTGGTTTGCTCCAGCCACACTTTGTTGACAAGATCCAAGTCAGGCAACATGGTTGACAAGAAGCGTAAATTCCACAGACCCATTAACTGAAACGGAACTGCGGGCGTGAACGGCAGGCAACACCCAATAGGCACAAGCCATCGCTTGCCCCGTGCACACATCCGGGAAAAGCACGGTGAGAAAGGGAAGAAAGGAAAGGGGCCTGGAAGGAAAGGAGCGGCACAGCAACTCGATCTGAGCCTCCAACTCGTGATAAGCACGTGACCTCCAAGCCAGACCCCAATGTGAGAATGCACAAGGACAAACTTTACCACAGCCCATTTAGGTTGTCTCTCGTCTCCCTGATATGAAGGGCGGTGAGGCCTATCTAGAGATTTTAATCCCTTTCAGCAGCTGCTGTGACAACTGCAATTATCCGTTCGCATATGAAAAGGATATTTCTAATTCTAGCAATTTACATCATGGGAGCAAAACTGAAATTGGCAGCTAACCTAAGCTGAAACCCAGACGGGCATTAGCTGGCTGTTTTAGTTCAAAATTAAGACAATGTTTTAACGCTCAAATTTATTTGGAGTAAATTATAGGGAGCCATCTGGAGCTTGTCTGCAGAGGGGGAGACTTAAAACAGGGGTTTTGCTGGGATCCACAGTTCCTGTATTTGCTTTCTAACAATTTTAAATTGGCAAGATTACATCCTGCTTGCATTTTGCTTTACCCATCTGATAACGAAAGGATAAATCCTTCTGCAAGACTGCAGTGATGAGGAGGGGAACAATTAACAAAAAGACTGTGGTAGAATTTGGAAGGAACCTTGATGACCTTTGTAAACTTAAGCTCCTCAACTGTTGTACCAATTATAACACCAACTCCCCTTCAAACAGACCCAGGGCTGGTTCACACCTATATGTGTCTCTTCCTGTACACTTGATTACAGAATGAATGTGGAAACTGTCTTCTTAGCACTAAATGGACCCCTGGCTTGGTACATGAGGATTTAACACTCCAAAAGGGAGCACCTGCAGTAAAACGAGCCTGGAAAGGATGGCTTAAATATGTTTCCTCTTGTCCCATGTCTCACATGTGCCAATCCTGTAATCTACCATGCTGATAGGGGACCAGGACTGTAAAATATTTGGGGGAAAAGCCAAGAGTTTAGCATTACAAGTTACATCTTATGCCTGCAATACCTGGAACTTGCATAAGAATGTAAGAGCAGCCCTGATGCTGAAAAGGCAAATATACTTTTTGGTCCGTTATTCTGTTCGCACAGTAGCCAAGCAACTGCCCAAAGGAAGCCCATTGGCACGGCATGAGGGCAACGGCACCTTCTCACCCAAGTTCCCCTGCAGAAGCTGGGACACACAGGTACACAGCTTCTGATACTGATGGCAGCATAAAGTGGTCTCTCATCATCTTCTCTGCCACGCCTTTGCCCGACCTCTTTTGAAACCCTCACTATGCGTGGCAGCAGAGGATTCCACAGCTCATCTTTGCGGGCTCCCATTTCACTATGAAGTGAAGAAGGCTCTCCTTGTATCTGTCCTGAATCTCTCAGCATTCCGCTTCAGAGGAGGGTTCTCCTATTATGAGGGAGATAAACTTCTCTCTGTACATTTCCTCCTCGCCATACAGAATGCTGTACGCCTCTGCTTCCTCTCCTCTTCTCTAAGCCAAGCATGCTCAGATGTTGGAACTGCTCCTCACAAGGGAATGGCTGGCTCCAGCCCCAGTGCCGCTTTCGTTGAGGCCCCATCGGTGAGGGGGTTCAAGGAAAGGCTGGACGTGCACGTGGTGGGCGTGTCGTGAGCGGAGCCGGCTGGAGCAGGGGTCAGACTAGATGTCCCGGGAGGTCCCTTCTGACTCGCTCTGTTTCTCTGTTTCTATGCTTTCCTTTTTCTGCACCTCTTCCAACCCCACAATATCCTCTCTGAGGTACAGTGACCGGAGCTGTACGGTGCATTCCAAGTGCGGTCACACCGCAGCTTTGAAGGAAAGGCAGTATGATCATGGCTATTTTCAATTCCTCTTCGAATTTCTTTCTCCATTCCAGAGGACCTCTGGCCACAAATGTGGTAGAGGCTTCTCCATCCAAGACAGAGGGCAGAAGAGAGGCAGGCGTTGTTTGCACACAGCAACAAACCATTTTGTTTTAAACCTGGCAGATGGCAAGGGCCGTGTGGGCACTGTGTTACTGAGCCCCCAAACAACCTGGAGGTCTGGGTGCAAAAGGGAGCTGATCAAGCACTAGAGGATAACACTGAAAAAGGCAGGAGGAAAACACTGCAGAAGTCCACTCACGCCCAAAAACCCAACAACCCATTCTAGAAAAACCACCGCCTGGATTAGTACGTATGTCACATACGGTACAAAAGCTTGCTCAAAGCCTTGCACAATCAACTCACCTGTGAAAAGGAAGAAGAGCAAGACCATGATCATGGTGTACCCAAAATATAAAATTGTGCTGGCGGTGCCTGTGATCTGGAGTTTCGAAAAGAAATAGTGAAAGGCGTAGATGAAGAGATAAACAGCTGTGAAGCTGCTGGTTAGGAAGGATCTCCACCACCAGTGATAATCCTAGGAAAAACGACAACAGAGGGTGAAAGACAAAATCAAGCCTGCAGGACAGAACGAGGCGATACCAGCAGAGGGCAGACTGCAAGCCTGAGGGCCATACATGTTCTTTGCTAGACTGCAATGTCCACCGAGAGGAGCCCTGCATAAAATGGTGGCTTGGGAGGCAAAGCTGATTAGCCCATGGGCCCGCTGTGGTGTCCAATATGCACACCTGTGCGTCTGAATTACCAGAGACCAGGGACTGTCTCATTCAGAGTTAAAAATAGCTATTTTCCAACAACTGGGAGATGGAGAGCCTTGCTGACCACTTGCAAATTACCCACCAGTCAACTAGAGCTCGTAATCTACCTTCTGCCCACCCAGGGTTTCTGAAATTGCTAACAAAGGCTGCTTATGTATATTAAGGGGGCTAAAGGAATCCCTTTTTGCACGTATTTGTAGCATTACTCTGAAATATATTTTATTTAAAATGGGTCTCCCATCTTTCTATGCTTGGTTCCGTTCCTTGCTCCTCGTAGTTGTGAGTTTAGATGCAGATAAAGTTACTTAAAATCTAGATAGCAGCTGATCCAAAGCTTCTAGAAAATTATCAGCTAACTCCTGTTCTTTGAGCAACTTCTGCCTGGGGATTTGTTCCCAGGTATTCTTACTCAGTGTAACTGCTCCCTGCAAGCCACAGGGCATCCGTCTATCCCAGATGTGGGCATGATGGGCTGTGAGCTAGCCAACTATGCAGCACAAGGAAGGGCGATGGCAAAACAACAGCATCACTGTGGCCTGTCGAGCTCGGCAAAAGAAAGCCAGCACCAAGAGAACCTCAGCATCATGCTGCCTGCCATTACAGAATCGCAAGGATTTATTCTGCTCCCATTAGTAACAGAAGCATCGGTGGCTGTGCAAGCCAAAGCCCAGACCAATTCAGCCCCGTTGGCTTTGGAAATCATCATCAAGCACTCCCAAGGACAGCATTTTCCTAAGAGCCAAATACATGATCCCCCTTCCCTCCCCTCTTATATGAAAGGCGAGATGCTCGCAATACTGACGTTTGCATTCAGGAATGTGATCTGTACCTGTACAGCAAAACTGCAATCATGCCAGCTAGCCTTGAAGGACAACATTATTTAATCAGGTACATGCAATTCAAAAAAGAAGTGGGAAATGCAACTACAGGAAAGCCTATGCCTTTTTTAATGTTCCGGCTGGTAATGCAGATATACTCTGATGAGGCGCTGGGAAGGCTGTTTTGGCACTGAAACTTGTGGCAGGCTGCTACATAGGCAAAGGAACAGAATGTCTGTAGATACCCGATTCTCATCCCCCTTTGCATCTTGGCTTTGTGCCACCACACAGAAGTGTTTTCCTCTATCTCTGCTTGCCCATAACTGAGTGGCTTACACGTGGGAGTCCTCTCTCTTCCCAGACACAGCATCAGCCTTCTCGTTCCGTGGAGCAAGTCTCTGCACAGCCAGCAGCTGCAACCCCATAAATCCGTCCAATGCCGCTCAGCGCTAAAGAACCAGCACCCTGCAGATGTGGCTCAGCCCCCTGGAAGCCCCTGGCTGGTGGCTAATCCCATCCAGCAATGCACCAGCCTTGGTAATGAGAAGACCCATCTGTTTACCTCTGCGCATAGATGAAAGTAGCACAGCAAGACTGTCGCCTCTGAACACGTAATCAGGAGTATGATAAAAACTAGGAACAGGAAGCCAAACATGTAGTACATTTGGTGAGACCTGGAACGAAAGCATGCACTTGGTTATCTTGCATCCAAGGTTCTCCTTGCCCGCCCTCTTTCACGAGACTATGAATTTCCCAGCACAACAGCCTAACAAGGCTGAGATTAGGCCCTGATTCTGCAAGCCAAGCCTCTGGTACCCAGCCTTGTTAGCTCAGCTTAATCTAATCCTCTGTCAGGTTTCCCCATTTTCACTCACACACCCCTCCTTTTTGCTTCTGAATAAGTCACTGTTCTGCAGACGGACTACCCACTGGGAGAAGCTGAATGCTGAGCAGGGACTCACGCCAACCCCCCACCCCCAGACTTGGCATCAAGAGCCAACTGCCCCTGAGACTGAGAAACAGCAGCCTGGCCTTAAAAGAAAGAAAGAAAGCTTTTGGAAAAGTGGTATTAAAGGATTGTAAAGAATGAATTAAAATCCCAGGGATCATGAGAAAGAGGGAAGGACAGTGCAGCTAATCATGCAGAGACACAGTGGAAAATCTCTGCTCAAGGGAAAAGTGTTTCATTCCAGGCAACCTGTGGTCCTCCGGATGCTGCTGGACTACAACTGTCCTCATCCATGGCCACAAACCATGCTGCCTGGGGCTGATGGAAGCTGGAGTACATAACTTCCTCACTCCTAGTTATCTTCTTTCATTCTGGAACACAAAGGAGTCTGCACTTACCAAATGCTATTAAGAATGAAGAAGAGCTGGATGAAGATACATCCAAAGGGCAGGATGCCTCCCATGATGATCCCTGGCAAAGGCTTGGTGAAAAAGGACTGCTCTGGAATCTGGCGAGGGATCTGGTTTGTACGCACTGGGTGCTCAATAGGCTTTGGAGAGAAAAGGAACAGAAGTAACCAGGTAAATACCTGTAAACAAACTGCTAAACAATTAAGTTGGGAAGTGGCCAACTCCCCAAAAAGGCTGCAAAAAATTCAATGTTCCAACATATTTCCATGATGAGAAAGTATTGATACCTGAGTCAGTGTGGTGTAGTGGTTAAAAGTGCAGGACTGGGACCCAGGAGATCTGGGTTCTAGAACTGCTCAGCCATGGAGCCAAATGGGTGGCTTTGGGCCAGTCCCAGACTCTCAGCCCAGCCTATCTCACAGGGTGGTTGCTGTGGGGATAAGATTGACAGGAGGGGGAGAATAATGTAAGAAAGAAATCTAATAAATAAATACCTGTGGCATCGATGCCTTGGAAGGGCTCCTTCTGACCCAGTGGAAAAATAATGCATCAAAAGGTAGCCCCAAAGTCACGGACCTCCCTGCATTTCTACAAGCTTTTTTCAAGGCCGTTTTATATGGTTCACTGGAGTAGATGTGCTACACCCTTTGAATCCCTCAATTCTGCCTAGGTACAAGTAACAGTGGGTCCAAAACAAACGAGCCAAAATTAAAACCAGGTAAGTTGGACAGATCATTGGTCAGCCTCACTCAGGGATTCAACTCTGCCTGTTCTGCAGGAGCTTGCACATCCCACAATGTTTCAAGTTTGCAGCTTGGGAATGATACTGGATTCTACACTGTCCTCGGAATTTCAGGTAATGGTGGTGTCTCGGATTGTGCTTGCTGCATAAACTCAACCTTTCTTGTAGCAGTCTGACTGAGCGACGCTATCCATGTCTTTGTCGGATCACATCTGGACTCACCCTGAAAAGTATCCAAACATGGCAGCCAAAACGCTGGCGGCTACACCATGCTGCACCTGTCTTGAAAGTCCTGCACCGGTTGCCAGTTATTTTCCAGGTGCAATTCAAGGGGTAGATTGTAGCCTTGAAAGGGCTTAGAATATGTTCAACCAAAGGACCACCCATCTCATTTGCCCAAGAACGAAGACCTGCAGATGAGGCCCTCTGGAGGGTGTGCTGGTCATGCATCAACAGCCTCTCTCTGGAATTGCTCCCAAACGAAGGAATTCAATCTGTCAAAAACGATGATCAATTCCTAATTGCTCGTCTTTTACAAAGGATGTCAAGATGCATCTTCCCAATCTAGCCTTTTAAATTACGCAGTCTGTTTAACATTTTAATGTTTATCTTTTCAGGGCACCATGCTGCAGGGACCGTGCAGCGACTCCCGACTCCAATGGCTGGGCTTCCTATTGTCTATAGGATTGCACTGTGTCTATTTTTCTTGCTTTAATTTTTTGTGGTTTGGAATTGCCATGCACCATCGTAGCGGCTTTTTAAACACACACTGCAGAATGCGAGGGTGAACAACTCTAACGGTTTTTGCGCTGTAACACAATAGCCATGTATTATATTGCTACGCTGCAAGAAACCTTTTGGCACTGCTTGTACAAGTACTTCTGGAGCAGCGCTGAGACATTTCCTCCTTGCACTCCCAGTCCTTGGGATCCTGGATGGCAGGTATTTTGGGCATTCTGAAGTGGCTGAATGAAATGTTAGAAGAGATACTTGTACTACACGGTATTTCTAACTTACCTTCTCTTTGAATCCAAAGTAAGCCCCGATGAAGGTTAACGGGACAGAGATCCCAAACCACATGGCCAAGATAGCAACCAGAGTGCCAAAGGGAATCGCTGCTGAAGATCCCTTCACCCAGAGAATAAGGTTCATAATGAAGAAATCAGCAAAGACGATTCTGGGAGGAAAAAGATGGAGGCATGACACACACTCAGGGAGAGAGCATGCTGCTCGCACTTTGCTGCAGGCCAACCAGAAGGATCCATGTTAACACCCCAAGTGTTTTCCGGGCACGAATGAGTAAGGCACTACCAGCATTAACAGTCCCACCATGGTTCTTTCCACCAATGCTTCCATCCTGCATCTAAGTTCTGTGAGAAGCTAACTTCTTTTTTAAAACAAATGAAAGCTTTCAGAAGAAGGCAGACAAAAGCACTTCTGCTGCTCTTCCCGCCCCCGCAAAAAGAATCAGAATTCAAGTAGCCTAAAGCTACACAGCCAGGAAAGATGTGAGGAATTACGATGGTGTAACTTGGAGTCCTGCAACAGCAGAGATTGGACACAATGGCCTTCATGGCCCTTTCCAACTCTACTATTCTATGATTCGATTTTTTTTTTAACAAAAGTGAAATATGGAGCAGCCCTTAATGGACATGAATATTTTGCACTAGTACAGCAGCTTTCCCCAGCCTGGTCCCTTCTAAATGTTGTGGAGTACAACACACAGGATTCCTACCCAAGGTCTATGTTGGCTGGGAGTGTTGGAAGCTAAAGGGAGATGAGGGAAGAATGGAACAGAGGAGAGTCTGATCTAATTAATGGCACAATCACATGCAAGTTTAGACAGAAAAAAAGCCTAACACCCAGTCAAGAAATATAGGAAGTTAAACCTCCTGCCCAGTTTTTTCTTTACCTGACACTGCTATTTACATAACATCCAGCCTGAAGAAAATTTCTGTAATTCTCAAAACCATGCATGTTATTTTGTAACTTTTTAGATGATCTTAAGAAAAAAATTGCTTTAAATTATAGCCATGCATCTATGTGCAAGTGTGGCCTTTAAGGTTCATTTAAAAAGGAAAAATCGGAATTCTGTTGTGGAATGTAAGTTCTAGGATGCTTTGATACATGCAGTCCCAAAGATTCAGTCATTTTAGACTCAGTCTGCACCCACCTTTCCCACAGATACTGTGGGGCAGTTTATGCTGAGTCAGTCTGGCCTGCACATCAACTGTCGAGACAAGCCAGAGCCCAGAATAACGAGGGGCATGCTTAGAGTCACAGACCTCTGGAGTGGTCCCACCCTTGGCTTATCTCACATCCCCTGCCCCTCGCTTCAAAGGTTGCCAGAAAAGTGCCCACCATATTTGCCTCTTCAGAATGGCAGTGGTAGAAGATGAGAGCATATCCTTACTGAGTTGTGGAAGCTTACTAAGCCATGAAGCCACAAAAAGAATATTAAAAGCTTAAATTCTGTAAGAATAGGAAGTAGAAGCAGGAATGACCGATGCTGGAGGGGAAAGTGAGGTCAGGGCTGCAACCCTCCACTGAGGCCTGAAGGGGGCAGCAGGGCCTCCTGGTAACAAGGACTGGTATTTCCATGTTCAGGATGTCCTTAGAAAGCTTACCGTATTTTTCGCTCTATAAGACACACTTTTTCCCCCTCAAAAGTAAGGGGAAATGTCTGTGCGTCTTATAGAGCAAATGTGCGTGTGCCCGACGCCCGGGACGCTGCCGGCTGCCTGCACCACGTGGCACCACCTGGCCGGCACACGCTCAGCGCGCCCTGCTCCGCCACCCCCCTCCGGCACAGGTGAGAGCTGTGGGCTTTAACCTGCCAGCCGCACGGAAAGACGGACTGCTCACCCCCACCGCCCGGGAAGACCTGCCGCCGCGCCACCCGGAAGACCACCGCCGGCACGCTGCCAGCCTGGCTGCACCACACCTGGCCGGCACACACTCGGTGCACCCTGCTCTGCCCCCCCCCTCCTCTGGCGCAGGTGAGAGCTGTTAATCACAGGTCGGTGTGTGTTTTCAAATGGCAACCCGTCTTTTAATGAAGCCCATGGGGAAGTGATGGGGAATGTGCCTGTGATTATCAGGAAGCTTTCCATGGATCAGTTATCTGTTAGTTGATCAGACACATTTTTTTTAGGATCAGTGGATATTTGAACAGCATTACCTTTGTGTATGAAGTTTATTCTTCAAAGGCTACTTAGCCCACTGTGTGTTTGATTTACTGTACAATATCTAATTTTTTTCAGAAGTTTTTTTCTATTATTTACTAATAGGGCAGCGTGGACATTACTGGCTTTTTTAGATTTGTTATTGAATTGTCCGCAGCAGCTCTTGTATAACTGGTGTAGATTGTGGATTCCTTCAATAATTCCACTACTAAGAAAGTGATGTCAGTGATTGTGAGCAACAGAGCTTCATAAATTCTGACTCTAGTGATGATGAGTTCTATGGGTTCAACGAAAACTAGAAGAGTACTCGACCTTTAAAGTCTCTCTTTTGTTAATGATAGTGATGATGGTTCTTAATGCCACTGCTGACTGCTGTTCACTTTACAAGGTTGAAATACGGTATTACTGTATTCTGTTATAGTTTATTAAATAGTTTAGTAAACCATTTGATTCAGAATATTTTTTTCTTGTTTTCCTCCTCTAAAAACTAGGTGCGTCTTATAGAGCGAAAAATACGGTAATTTTGCATCCAAAGATGCAATACTCCTTGAAATTGTGAGTGCACAAGAATGATTCTGGCTAATGATTCTGGAGCGCGTGCGGGACCGGGCAGGGCTTCGGAAGCGCCCTGTGGACTCAAAGCACGGCCGGCGGCACAGAGAAGCAGCGCCCGGACAGGAAACACCTGCCCCGCGCTGCAGGAAGAACCTTCGCGCTCCAGCGCCTGCACGCTGTTCCCCTGCGCTGCAGGAAGGAAGGACCTTCGCGCACAAACAGCTGCACGCTGCCGCGCCGCCAACGGAGGCCTGTACCACCGGCCAGCATGCAGGTCCAGTTCGGGTTGCCCCGCCCGCCCGCACAGGTGAGCGCATGCAGGACCGGGCGGGGCTTCGGAAGCACCCTGTGGACTCAAAGCGCGGCCGGCGGCCGGGGCTGGCGGCCTCGGGCCAGCGGCCAAAGGGCGACGGCCAAAGGGCAGTCGCCGCCGTTTGGGAGCCGTTCGGGGGCCAAGCGGGGGGCTGGGCTGGCCAGGGGCATTGGTTGAAATTGACCCGCCTACCGTTGTACATTAGGAAGGGGGATTTTTTTTTCTTTTTCCTCTCTTTCTTCTCTTCTTTTCTTTAACTGCTTTATAGTTTTATCCTGTTTAATCTGTTTTTATGGAGTCGTCCCTGGCCATGTCGACGTTTATGTTTCCTGGGGAGCGCGCGGGCGCTGCCATTGGCGTGGTTATGGGCAATGGACGTAACAGCAGTGGGGGCTTAACATGTCCACGTAGAAGGAGGGACAGATGGCTGACACCGGTCCCTCTTTCTGGTTCTTCCCCCACCCAGAGGGTGCCAGGTAGCCTTGTCAACCGCCCCTCAGGCCTGACGGTGCTGCTGCTCAATGCCAGGTCGGTCAATAATAAATCTTCCCTCATCCATGACTTGATTGTGGATGAGGGGGCCGACCTGGCTTGCATAACGGAGACCTGGGGGGGGGGGGGGATGCTGCCCTCTCTCAATTGTGCCCGCCTGGGTATCTGGTTCAGCACTGTTCACGCCCAGAGGGGAGGGGAGGGGAGGGGGGGGTCGCATTGGTTTACCAAGCCTCCATCTCTCTCACGGGACTTCCGGTCCCTTCGAGGCCAGGGCTGGAGTGCCTCTACTTGGTGTTGGGCGAACGAGACAGATTGGGGATTCTGTTGGTGTACCGTGCACCCTTCTGCCCAACAGTCTCCCTATCTGAGCTGACAGAGACCGTCTCGGACCTGGCGTTGAGGACCCCCAGGATGTTGGTCCTGGGGGACTTCAATCTCCATGCTGAGTCTGGTCTAACCGGGGCGGCTCAGGACTTCATGGCCTCCATGACGGCCATGGGGCTGTCTCAACATGTCTCCGGCCCGACCCATGAACGTGGACACACTCTGGACCTGGTTTTCTTGACGGGGCAGGAAGAGGGTGACCTGAGGGTGAGAAATTTATGTGTGACTCCCCTGTCATGGTCAGATCACTTCCTGGTGAGGTTTGTGCTCGAGAGCGACCTCTCCCTCTGTAAGGGTGCGGATCCGATTGTGTGGGTCTGCCCCCGGAGCCGGATAGATCTGGATGGATTCCTGAAGGCCCTGGGGGAGTTTCCGGCTAACAAGAATGGTGCTCCTGTCGAGGCTTTGGTCGAACTGTGGAACAGGGAGATGACCAGGGCTGTGGACACGATCACTCCTAAGCATCCTCTCCCACCGGGCAGAGCCCGCTCTTCCCCTTGGTATACACCTGAATTGCGAGCGATGAAGCAGGTTGGGAGACGGCTAGAGCATAGGTGGAGGAAATCACGGGATGAATCAGACCGAACACACTTGAAAGCCCACTATCAGGCCTATGCTGTGGCGGTGAAGGCGGTGAAAAAGAAGTTTTTTTTTCCGATTCCATTGCCTCCTCACAATGCCGTCCGGCGGAGCTTTTTCGAGTGGTGCAAGGCCTGGTTCACCCGGGTCCCAAGGAAGATCCGGTTCCACCCTCAAAGGCCCGCTGTGACGACTTTGCCAGGCATTTCAGGGATAAAATCGCTCAGATTCGTCACGAGCTGGACTCCACTAATGAATCAGAGGTTTCTGGGGAGACGCCAATGCGGCCGTTTGGTCCAGAATTATTGGATGAATTTCAGTTATTGCGGCCCGATGATGTGGACAAGGTGCTTGGATGAGTACATCCCACCACTTGCCTATTGGACCCTTGCCCGTCTTGGTTATTAAATAATTCCAAGCACGGGATTGGGACCTGGATCTTGGAAGTGGTTAACGCTTCTCTGAGGGAGGGTCGGGTGCCTGCCCCTTTAAAGGAGGCGGTAGTCCGTCCGGTCCTGAAGAAAGCGTCACTGGATCCAGAGATGGCCACTAACTATAGACCAGTGGCCAACATCCCGTTTCTGGGCAAGGTGTTAGAGCGGGTGGTGGCGGGACAACTCCAAGCACTCTTGGATGAAACTGATTATCTGGACCCATTTCAGTCCGGCTTCAGACCCGGGTACGGTACTGAATCTGCCTTGGTCGCCCTGTATGATGACCTGTGCAGGGAGAAGGACAGGGGGAGTGCGTCCCTGTTGGTTCTTCTGGACCTCTCAGCGGCTTTCGATACCATCGACCATGGTATCCTTCTGGATAGGCTAGCGGGATTGGGAGTCGGAGGCACTGCTTTGCAGTGGTTCCGCTCCTATCTCAACGGCCGATTCCAGAAGGTAGTGCTGGGGGACTATGGCTCTGCGCCATGGCAGCTATGCCATGGAGTACCACAGGGCTCCATTTTGTCCCCTTTGCTGTTTAACATCTATATGAAACCGCTGGGAGAGGTCATCAGGAGGTGTGGGCTACGGAATCATCAGTACGCTGATGATACCCAGCTCTACCTCTCATTTTCCACTAATCCAGGTGAGGCAGTGGCTGTACTGAACCGGTGCCTGGCCGAGGCAATGGGCTGGATGAGAGCCAATAAACTGAAGCTCAATCCAGACAAGACAGAGGTCCTGTTGGTTGGCGGATCGGGCTTCGGAGAGGGTGGATTTGACCTGGCCCTGAATGGGGTTGCACTCCCTCTTAGGGACAAGGTCCGCAGCTTAGGAGTACTCCTCGACCCGGAGCTTTCATTGGAAGCTCAGGTGACAGCGGTGGCAAGGAGCGCTTTCCTTCAGCTTCGGCTGATTAATCAGCTGTGCCCCTACCTGGAGTATGACTGCCTGGAGACGGTGACACACGCGCTGGTGACTTCCCGCCTTGACTTCTGTAACGCGCTTTACGTGGGGCTTCCCTTGAAGATGGTCCAGATACTTCAGTTGGTTCAAAATAGAGGTGCCAGGTTGCTGACGGGGACGGGGCGTTATGTTCACATGACTCCAGTCCTCCGACAGCTTCACTGGCTTCCCATTGAAGTCCGGGCCCAATTCAAGGTGTTGGTTATGACCTATAAAGCCCTAAACGGCTTGGGACCTGGTTACCTGAAGGAGCGCTTACATCCATATATGCCCGACCGCCCCTTGAGATCTGCGGGAGAGGCCCTTCTCCAGGAACCCTCCGTGAAAGAAATTAGGAGGGTAGGTACTTGGAGGAGGGCTTTTTCTGTGGTGGCGCCCAATCTATGGAATGTGCTCCCCAGAGAGGTCCGCCTGGCGCCGTCATTATTTGTTTTTCGGCGCCAGGTGAAGACCTTTTTATTTAAACGTCATTTTAATTGTTAACAATATTCACTTATTCATCTGGCCAGGGCGACTTCTTTTCTTTCCTTTTCTTTTCTTCTTTTATAACTTTTCTTTTATAACTTCTTTTATATCGTTTATATATTTTTATTTATTTATTTTATATTATTAATTTTAATTTTACATTGTTATTTTTGTATTGTATTGTATTTTATTGTGTTGTAAGCCACCCCGAGGCTTCGGCAAGGGGCGGCATAGAAATGTTCTAATAATAATAATAATAATAATAATAATAATAATAATAATAAATGATACTTCAGTTTATTATAAAATTTGTAGTTTCTATTCTCAAATTCTACTTTTCCCGCTGTCTCAGATGGCAGTCTCCTTCTTCAGTGTTGGATACATCCATAGTTTTGCTTATACAAAACTAAGGCATTTATGCTTTTGAGGTACTAAAGTTATGTTAGCTTAGTTGGACATTATCCACTAAACAGAATAGGTCTTACTTCTTAATAAACAGGCATAAGAGTAATTTATGTAAGTTCACTTGGAAGGGATTTACCTTAAACGCTGGCTGAAAAAATATTTAAATAAAATTGCTCAGTGAATGAAATATATGCAGATAATAGCATTTCCTATGCTAAGCTACGTGTATCCATTCCCCCCTCTGTCCCCATGCTCGGTTTTTGGTGGGCAAACTGGCCAATCCCCTGCTTTCGCTCATGATGTAAAATTTCCAGAAATGCTGACAGCTCAAGTCTGGACCACCCATGCCATGTGACATTGGCACCTTTCTTTTAATTAACAAGTCTATATACTGTCCAGGGGAAGAGTGCATTTCCCTCTCCAAAGTGCCTCCTATCCCTATAGCACAGCAAAGCACCTCCGGGCAGCCGGAAAAAAGGTCGTTCCATGAGCAGGAGCATCAGCTGCGCATCGCTTGGCTTCAGGGAGGGTCAGTGAAACACACAAGAACCAGGAGCTCGAGGCACCAGGATCCTCACAGCCAGACCTGCAATTCTTCACAGACGCGGCTCCATCGTATGGCATGTGGGACCGAAAGCAACACAGCAGCCAAGTCCATTAAAGCCCTAGAAACAAGCCTTCTCTCAGCCAAAAACTGTTTTGGGAAGAAGGCTGCTCTGTGCATAAACGCCATCTAATTTCCGGCAAGATGAACATCTTGTAAACCGATCGCTGTCATGTACAAAGGCACTTTATTAAGCTAAAGCGCTGCCCAAGAAAGCAAAGCAAATCTCTGCTTTACTCCTCCAAAGGGAGAGGGAGGGAAAAATCTTGCCTGTCTACAAATTCTCAAAATCAATCCACAGAGTACGTAATTGCCTCAGGCTGTTTATGGCATTATGCAAATTTGCTGAACTAGCAAAGCATAATCAAGACATCTGTTCTTATTTTGTGCTCTCCCGCCACACCACCCCTCCCCACTCCAGGCAATCATTCGACTTCTGCAAAACAGAATTTATATACTGGAATTTAAGCTATTGGCATGATAGTGCACCATTTCCATTTTGGGTTCTACCAAGATAGCATCTAAATGTCAGCAGGAAGCCCCTTTCTGATTGGGCCTTGTGCTAGACACACAATGGGTAGCTCTTTCTTGTGCATACCACAACTTGCGTAATTGCAGTCTATTCAAGTACACTGTTCCTTGATTTTTTGCTTTTAATTCTGAAACTAAATCATTCCACAAGCAGAAACATTAATGAGGCAGGCTAACTGCCTTAGCCATGCATGATCTGTTCTGCGCAGAAATCTGGCATGGTGATTAAGAGCGCTGGGCAGGAGACGGCCGGTTCCAGTCCCCACTCAGCCATGAGGCTCTTCAACCCTTTTTCAGCCAGCCACTCGCTTTCCACCAAACTGCCTCACAGGGTTGTTGTTGTAAGGATGACATGGGACTACGAAAGAACTATATAAGCCACTCCAGGCTTAAAAAAAAGAGTTGGGCTCTTTTTAAGCCTAAAAAGGCTTAAGGTTAAAGGCAAGAGTTAAAAAGCTGGGATATAAATGTAATAAGTCAATAATATTGATAAAAAACATGGTTTAACACAAACCATGACGTGCAATACAGCAAACCATACAGGAGCATGGGGTGAAGAGCATTTCCATTAGGATCAACACGCCTGTTCTCTAGGTCCATTGCACCATTTGGGGAAGGAGAGAGATGTTCCCTCTTTCAGAATAGCAAGTTCCCACTGTGGGAACTGGGCCGTGTTTGGCTCTTCCTCACCCCACACATTACTCCAAATGGGGACAGAATGAGATGCTCTCACAGCCAAACCAGGCACGCTATGCGTACACAATTCAGCAGGGGGTTTCCATACCCATCCCACTGAAATAGGAGCAGCAAACCGCTGTGAAACCGTGTGATTATGCTTCCCCTGGTCATTTCACTGGGATCTTGTGCAGGAGCTCTTCTTACTTCGCAGTAAGTAGCTAACTTTTAAAGGTGGTTGATTTTGAGTAGGTTGCTTAGGTTCGGTGATGGAGAAGTCACTGGCTCAGACAGATGCAACATTTAACCATGGCTGCGAATACCATCTGAACAACTAAGTTGCCATTACCTAATGTCCCCAAAGGTTTGAAGAGGCTCTACAAACCACGGTTTGTCTTAACCACACATTGGTATTACTTCACAGAGAAAATCATAGTTAAAGCACTTAACAGGATTCTCTCTCTCTCTCTCTCTCTCTCTCTCTCTCTCTCTCTCACACACACACACACACACACACACACACACACACACGGAGAGAGAGGACAAACAATAGATGCAGTCACATACACAGCAATCCAGTTCACAAGCAAATGGAAATTAAAAGGTCCTGCATGATTAATTATTACCAATGTACTGTCACTTAATTGCAGTAAGGAACAAGAGACTTTATCCATATTAACCATTTTTCTAGGACACCAATATGGAAAATCAATTCTATCCAAGAAAGGAAATGGTGAATACTAACCCAGGACACAGTAGTGCTGTCAGCAACACATTTGTCTTCCACTTTTCACCTCTAAATGCTGAGAAATAAAGCGGGGGGGGGGCGGTTAGTGCATTTAAATGCATTTCACTGGCGCATTGGCTTGCTTCTCATAGCATTATAAACCAATTGCAATCTGCCCTGGCAACACATCCTGAACTGAGCTTCAGGGAAGTCACAAGTATACTGAGAACCATCCTGATAACTCACCTAAATTCAGGCTGGGTTGGTCCCTCCCCATTGACAATCAATGACCAGCAAGGCTTCCCCAGCCTGCCTCCAGCCCTACACAGCTGGGTTCCATTGCATTTTCCTCTTTTCTTTCTTTCATTTTTAACAAATTTCCCACCCAGCAAAGTCAACGTGCAAAGGGTCATTAAGTATTGGAAGATGCAAGAGCAAAAGCTCAGTCAGGCGCAGGGAAGAAAAACATGGCTAGGAACACTATTTTCCAGTTCCGTGTCTCTAGATCACAGCTAGACCTCTCTCCTGTCCTCATTAACCCTGGAAAAGGCCTCTATAGCTGGCCAAAGCTGGAAGGCAAGTGGAGGGGCGTTTAGCCAAGCAGGGATCTGAATGAATGAGCCACACAGACACAAGGGCTGCACTTACTTTTGTACATCCGAGCAGATACGTAGCCCGCCGGAGTCCCCAGCAAGACCCAGAGCACAACTGCACAAGTCATCAAGGCCCCTCTGTTGGCTGGTGAAAGGAACCCGAGGCAGGCGAGGACTGAAAGGGCAAACACACATCAAGTATTCTTGTGCTGATCCTGCTTCCGGCATACAATGACACACAAGGAAAGGTAAAGGCGGGGATCTTTATTCTTTTAGTGGGCCAGGAGAATGGTCCTACCCTTAGCTTGCTGTAAAGGCTGCTGGTGGTAATAGTTGAGGTGAGGGGTCCCTTCCCTTCAGAGGAGTGGCTGTTCAGCAGGGGTTGCGGAAGAGATGCACACTGGGAGAGAATGCCAACCAATGCAACATTCCACAAAGGTGGTGGAACATCCGCTCTCTTAGAAAAAGAAGCCACTATATAGCAAGTCCAATCCTTGCCCCAGCTAATTCCATGCCATCCATGGCAACTCTCACCAAAATGGCACCCTCCAGATGCCAGAATGGCAACTTCAGGTTAGAACAGAAGAGTTGGAAGGAGCCTCTAAGGCCCTCAAGTCCAACCCCCGGCTCCACTTCCACATGTGGTCACCCATCCGGCTGCTGGTCAGTGCCTTTCCAGCTTAGCAAAGGGGACCTGACATGGCAGCTTGATGTATAGCTATGCGGGCAGGAAAAGGTCTTCTTCCCTCAGCCCTAGCTGGGAATGTCATGGCTGCAACCTGGTAAGAGTCTGTGCTGCATCACTGTGCCTCAGTTCTTCCCGCGTACACTCACCAAGCCTTACATCAAGCTTCTAAGCAACAGGGGGAACTTTCCAGATGGAAGTGGAAGGGTCCTGGGATGCCCTCCAGGCATACCAGTTAAGACTTCCTGCTGGTGATGATCCACAGAGCCAGAGGTGCCTCTTTTCCCCCGCAGGAAGCTTCCAGGCCAAACCAGCTCCTCTCCTCCTTGGTACGTTCCCCAAGGAAGCTCTGAGACCCCTAGAAGAACTCCTTAAAAACCACCACTTCATCCACAACACTGCACTCTCACTGTCCACACTCAGACGGTTTTGTGGCCAACAAGTTCCATTGTGCACAAATACAGAGTGCAAAAAAGCACACATGGAATGAAATAATGCCCTGCCCCTGGTGTTTGTACCCTCCATGGCCGGAAAGCCCCTTCCTCAGTGTGCTAATGGTCTCGTGTTTTGAATTAAGGGAGTTGATTATGCAAAACACAAAGAGCAGCATGTGGAGGGAGATGAGGACAGCAAATGGCAGGGGAAGGTTATGTGGGCTCATGGGCACAGCTATTCTCCTGGATATGCTTTTGGCACCCATTAAGGTGCTCTGCCCCCCACTTTTTTGTTAACACTCTTCTTACCCACAACTGGGATGGCTGAAAAACAGGGTTCTTTTTCCTACTGGTGCTGAAACCAAGAAGGTTCCATGGAGTTCTCAATATCCCACCTATGCCTCTACCAAGCAAGCGGCATGTCCTTGGCCGAGTCTCCCAAGGCTGCCATTTTAGGGTGATGCTCAGGTCAGCTCATCCAACTGCCAAGTTTCCCCGAGGCCCACAAAGGCATCCCAGGATGCAAAGGCGCCCCAGCACTTTGGCCATTGAACTCATGCCTTTCCGGCAGAAGAACGGCGCATTCTCATTGTAAGCACATTTTCAAAAGGAGGCATCAACACTGCTGCGTCCACAGAGCCCCTCTATGAGCAGCCACGGCACTGCGGACACTGCAGTTCCACACCTGACTCACCTTTGTCTCCCTGCAATTGCTCCTTCTCTCATGCATCCACTCCCCACCCCTTCGCGCCCCCATACTCTCGAGTCCTAGACCGCAACCTCCTTGGAAGCAAGGATCTTTTCTCCAATCCCCTTGGAAGCAAGGATTTTTACTTAGGCTGCGAAGCAGCTCCTATCTCCCTCGCACTGCATGAGCAACTGGTTCTCGCCAATCAAGTGCTACTTACACAGAGTAATGAACGTCATTATGAAAATCTGCGTCCCTTGGCCCAAGAAGACCGACAGCAGCATGCCCTTCCTGGGAGGCCGGAACACGTCTCCATGGACCTGCTTCCACCCAAACTCCTCCTGGGCATCCTCCTGCAATAACATCTTTATTAGATGTACATCCTGCAGCAGCGAATTAGTACAAGCCAGACATGAAATTCACTTTCCCAACCCGATTATCTTTCAGGTTCTGTTACCGAAGGGGAGTAATTTCATCAGCTTCGTTACTTACGGATTTTACAACTCCCTAATGGACTTGCTGGCTGGGGGAGGAGGATGCAGATTTATTAAGAAACACTTATCTTGAGAAAGAGAAGCAAACATTAGCATACTTGGAGTGCCGCAATGTTAATTGATATTAAACAAAAGATTGAGTTTAATTTAAAGCTGCATCACAAGCAGATAACACATTTATCTGCCTTTGTCTCCTACTCCCAAACAAGTCAGCTTCAGACTGATGTGCAAAGAAAGAAAAGATCACATCACAACTCAGGGGCCCAGGTACCATCAAGTGTTTTCCTGTTCTGCCTGCACACTGGGGGTATTTTATATGATAATAAAGCCTATAGAATAAAGCACCAAATATAAAAAGCTGTTAGCTTCCAATGAGGTATTCCCCATTCTGCACCTCATCCAAGTACTAGAAAAGCCTTCGTTTCCCCCATCTTTTTCTTCTTTTCTTCTCCATCCCCTCCCCCAGAAAGGACAGGGCTATTCTCCCAGCAACAAAATCAACTTGCAATAGGAGCCCAGCATTTCACCAGTCCTTGAAGGGCAGGCACTACAGATGCATGGGCATGGTGGTAGGAGCAAGAAGATGGGAACCGGACTCCTCAGAAGTCAGACACCTTTTCCTACCTAGCAGCCTCCTGATGTGGTAGTCATACAAATCCCACTGGCCATGCCAGCTGGGAATTATGGAAGAGGCAGTCCCACACATCCAGAGGGCACCAAGCTAGGAAAGGCTGTCCCAAAGCATCTGCAAAGACCCAAGTCTGAGAATCCCCAACAACTTAGATTTAGGGTGTTCAAATACTCCTAGAACAGCATATCCGGGGAAGTCCATCAAATTAAACTCCCGATGGAAGAAGAGAGAGGAGCAGAACTATTCCCCCTAGAAACTAGGCAGTTAAGTTCTGGTCGCAGCAAAACAGATCTTGTCTTGAAAGCTTAATAGTGTCTGGTCAGGGGGAAACAGAAATCAAATTACCTAAGCCAGCCATGAGAGCCGATTCCTTGATTTGTTTCTTATGAAGAAAGGCATTTCTCACCGTGGGGAAGCAGGATTTTTGTAAGCCTATTCATTACTCCCAAATGGCAGCTGATGGAAAGTCTGTATTTTGCAGAGTTTTGTTTTAATTAGCTAAGTAAACACTGTCTATTTGGCTACAGTTTTAAGGGCTCTTCACCAAGGCAGCACCGGAAGCAGTTTTCCATACAGACCACCTGTAGCTTTCTAGGGATCTTCCAGGCAAATGGAACGATTATTGAAGCAGAATGCCTCTCCCTTCTAGAAACAGGGCAATCAAGGCGTTCGCTGGCCCTCCCCAAGGAAGAAGCAAACAGCTGTGTGGAAGGTGCGAGCCTTTCACTGCCTCCTCTCCAACAAGCACCATGTATTGTAAGCCACCTGGGAAGGCCTCCGCCATTATAGGCGGCCTATAAATATATGGAAATAAATAAAAGATACAGCCTGACTAAAGCCCCCCTTCTCCTTCCCCACACGACAACTGCCGCCACTGTAAGACTTGACTCTAAAGAAAACCCCTATGCTGACCTCCAAAATTCACAAGAGTTCCCAAGATTCCTCTCTCACAGGTTGCCAGCATCCACGCCTCCTTACAGTGGAGTTTGCTCAACTCATCTTACTTACTGAGGAATCCATCTGGTTGTATCTTGCAATATCTTTGTGCAGTGTCCTCAGAAGGATCATGGCCACCATTCCAGATAAGAAGAGGACAATCACAAGAGAATTCATTATGCTGAAGATGAAGAAACAGACAAGGATTTCACACCAATCACAGCATTAGAACCATTTTGGAGCCTTCAGCAATTCTACTTCTAATCCACAGCTTGGCAAGGGTAAGACATCTATGGTCAGAATCATCAGGATGTGGTGGCCATGTTGGATAGCAAACCGAGTCTGCATCAACACCAATGATGTTCTGGTATAACAAGGACAAGAGTATTTTGTTGCTGCCCTTATGTGCTCTCAAGTTCTCAGCAACCCTGTGAATGAAGCCTTCCAAAATGTCCCCTTCATGTCAGCCCTGTTTAGCTGTTCTAAATTCAGGGTTGTGGCTTCCTGTATGGAGCCAATCCAACTCTTGTTTGGCCTCCCTTTTCTTCTATCTTTGACCTTCTCTAGCATGACTGTCTTCTCCAGGGAGTCTGGCCTCCTCTTCACGTGCTCAAAGTACAACAGTCTCATATTTGCTTCCAGGGACAAGCTCTGGCTTGATTTGATCTAGGACCCACTTGTTGAGCTTTCTGTTGATCCAAGGTATTTGCAAATCTTTCTCCTAGTATCATGTTTCAAATGCATTCATGTCCTTCCTGTCAGCTTTCTTCACTGCCCAGCTTTCACACCCAAAGTGAATGGAACAGTATTTTAGATGAGGTTAAAAAAAAGTGTGATAGCCAAGACTTGGGAAGTTGCACAGCTGTTCTAGATTACTTAGCATTGGCAAACCTGATGCATCAAGTAAATAAGGCACTGAACAATGATGTGAATGTATTTCCCTTATTAGTCATAACACTGTTAAAATCTTATCAAGGTCATCCACAAATATAGGACTATTTCAGACATAACGCAAACCATGATGTGCAATGACCAAAGTTTAGTCTCCAAAACATGATCTGATTCCAGATCTACAAGCAAACAAAAGTTTGTGGGATAACTAAAGAGAAAACCTCAGACTGTACTTTGCCAGTTTGGACATTTACGGCATGATCCAGTTTGCTGCAAAAGTGTTTTTTAGACATATGGCTTCAGATCCTTGTTTGGTAAGCTGGCGGGGGGGGGGGGTGGTAGCTTTATTGAACAGATACAACCAGAGATGCTGTAGCATAGAGGTGCATCCTACAAACCATGCCCAGCAAGAAAAATATGGTCTCTGGTTTGCCACTTTATCACCTGAGCAGCAAAGAATCAAGAACGCTCCTTCACAACCGGCTGCATTTTACTAACAAAGAGAACTGCTACTGATACATGACAAAGAGAAAGAGAAAGTACCCTGGAACTTGTTGCCAGAGTTGATCAGATCACAGGAGAGACACAAGCAAGCTGCCCAGAGAGACCCTCTTTCCTCCTTTCGTTACTTAATATATCTTTACTGGGATGCCGAATCTGTTTAGGATGTCTGTTTTAATCGATTATTCCTGCCTGGCAGCTGATTTTTTCTCCCACCACCTGCTTCTCTACATTGATGCACCGTTTTAAGTTCCTCTTCTATAACATTTGCATAATACAGGCCAACTACATTTATTATTAGGCTAACCCAAACTCTTCTACTGCTTTGCTCTACAAGTCTTCACTTGCAGGCTTTCATAACCTATGCATGACCTCACTGATCTATGTTTATGCTCTATGGACACTATCTGGATATGATCATGGGTAATATATTTACATGCACAAGCCAGGTATGCTTTTTGTGTTCCTACACTTGCAAAGCATGGTTTTTAAACAGTAACAAACCATGATCTAGTTTTGCAAAGCATGGTTTGGTTTTATGTCTAAAAGGCTTGTAAGTTGTTTACTCTCTTCAGATCATAAGACAGCCAAGACATTTCCACTTTTAAGAAAGAAAAATGCATATCCATAAAAGTTTGTTGTAGTTTTCTAAACAGTAAATACCTAATTCAGACAGGTAAAACCCCAAAGCACGGCACGTAACTCTTGAAAAGAAAAGCAGAAACTGATCAGTCACAGCCTCTCAGAAATTCTGTGAAAGAAGCTGAGGAAAGTAAAATAGAGGGACCGCTTTTCTTTGGAATTCAGAAGACATATTCTTTGAACAAAACAGTATTTCAAGTTGCTCTCAGGACAGCCAGCACTAAGGAAAGCTACTCTGCAAACAAAAACTCAAAAAGCTCACCGACTAGAACCTGGCCTAAATCTATCTTACCTAAACCACTGAATGTTGGTGTGGGGCATAGATTCCAAGATGTAATCCCACCTCGAAGCCCACTTGATATTGTTGTTCTCCTGTATAAAAAATGAGGGTACATGGTAAAACAGCTAAACTGTGGGCAGCACTTACACAAAGGCAAGCCTTCATATACCGTTGATCTCAGGGCTTTAAGAGTCCAAGGCAGGCAACTACAATGTTATTTGCATGAATTCTGAGGTCCTCCATGGATACAGAGAATTGTACTTTTGCAAGCCCCAAATGCAATCTTCCGCCATCCCACACCTTGCTCAATTCCCAAAGAAGCAGCTAAACTCACTTTTTAAAATGTAACTTAACAGCTCCTTTCTTGAGCTGGTGCTACCATTTCCCACATCCCAGCAGCACAAGTTCTAACGTACATCATATTTCGAGCCACAGTTCAGATGAAGAGAGTTATGGAGCAGTGCAGCCTTCCCTGACCCGGTCCCCCATGCTGGCTGAGGACTGTGTGAGTCACAAGTTGGGAAAGGCTGCAATACTTTCTCTTCATGACATACACTAACCAGTGACATAAAACCATCAGCCTCAACCCAAAGTCCTATGAAGCTCCCGAAACTGGAAACCGAGTTTGGCTCTATGCAAAAACTTTTCTACAGTGGGCAATGCTCCGTGGGAATGGGAAGAGAAATTCCCATCTCATAGAAAGTGTATTGAGGGGGTGACCTGTGCAAGTTCACACATACAAGTGGGCTGCAAGTTCCGGCACTGTCCTTTATAAGAGCAGACACTCCCAGAGGCTTGATACATATTGTGGCTTTTGAACAAAATTAACTTTACAAACCCAGGTTTCATCAAGAATGTTTTAAAAAAGCAAACCTTGATAGGCAGTTCATTCATGTTATTAAGGGGACTGCAAAGCTCCAGGCAACTGTAATCTCAAGGTCATGGGTTCAAATCAAATTTCAGTTATAAGAAAAAGGGACTATTCAATCCATGATGTCTATTTGGCTGCCTGGCTAATGGTCTCTGCTGGCTTTCCTTACAAAAGGGGTATTTTTGCATCACAACAACCTGGCATAGCTGGCTGCACGTTTTGCAGTACGGCATATCCAAAGACCCAGCCGGCCAGCCAGCCCTCGGTGAGTCAAAAGCTTTATACTTACAATGCTCCACTTAGATATAAAAATAAGTATAATTAACCAGCTGATTTGGATTTGAAGGCTTAGTACATAGTCGGCCCTGTATATGAAACATGCTACGCACCCCTGCTCTTCAGCATCATTGAAAAGCTGAACACTTTCAGAAGTGCAGCAAACATGCAACTTGCTTGTACTTACTTCAAATTTCACCGAGTAAGAATAGATCACATTCAGCCTGCTGGCAAATTCTGCAGGAATTTCCATAGGGGGGCCTTGACAGGATAAGTTGTTTATATCTGTATGTTTGTAACTACAAAGATAAATATACATATACATATAAATGTACACATATTTATAAGCTGGAGGGCCCAAAGGGCTTCTTTTACCATCTTGAAGGATGCACTGGCTATGCACGGGTTTTGATTTCCAAGTCTTTGCTTGAAATGCCATGTGTATGGCGAAGTCCACATAAGGCCTGTGGATTAAATGTACACTGTACGGATTTCTCCATGAACAAAAAGTAGTTCTGAATGCAAGAACTACTCTGTATTAAAACCCAAGGTTTTATGCCTTCACAGTAGCCAGAGGGCTTATGGAACTCCACAGGGGATGTGCAAAAGCCCCCGAGCCAACACAGCATTTGCAGAGGGGCCACACAATCAAACAGGCAGGGCAAATGTGCAGTGGCATTTAGGGCCATCCCTCACACTATACTGCTTGACCGTGACCTGACTCATTGCTGGAGAGAGCCAGAAACTGTCCACAGAATCAAAAGTGGTGCTCTAGGACAACCAATCATTGCTGCCACTTTAAAAAGCACAAGTCCCAAGTTCTTAAGCACCGGCTTTTTTTCAGGAATACAGAGACTGTTAAGCCACAACATACATCAGCTGCCAAATCCTAAGTGCAACATCAGAAGAATAATTGCAACCTGTATTTTTAAAAAAGTTCTAGCCCAAATCCTCCTCTCTCACCCCATGAGGAAGCACAAACAATACTTCTGCAAGGGTCTTCAGAGCCACCTAATGGGGGCAGAAAAGAATGCAATGACCGCAGCAGATAGCAACAAGTCTCCCTGATTTGCAAGCATCTCAACCCAGTCCTTGCGGATGGCTTCAGGCCTAGCAATATTGTGAAAAAACAAGTAGTAAGAATGTGGCTTAGCCTTTCTTGGACCCCAGAGACAGACTCTGCTTCCTGATGAAGGCAGACCAGAGAAGCTTGGATACAGGGCCAGGCAAAAATAAGGCAGCACTGAATTGAGAGGTTTGACTGTGCCCCCTTGTGGCACAGATTACTAGCACATCACTTAGAAGGCACCAGGTAGGGTACTTTTGGCCAGCAGGTTTATTGCAGACGCTCACACACACTTGGGAGCCTACTGCAGTATGTTGCACAAGCAGCAATGCCTTCATGAATCTATTATCCAATATAATGAAGAAAGTGGGAAAACAGCCCAACACACAAGCAGATCAATAGAGAAGACCCTAAAAGCCATTGCGTGAATTTGTTTCTTGCTTAGGATGCATGCTCTGTATGTAGACTCTTTCCATGCCGGCTGGAGATACCCAGTACAGAATCGAGACACCACACTTGGGCTCTGCTGAGCCGCACAAGTCCATTCCCACAGATGCAGTGCATAGCCCAGCCTGAGCACAGTGCAAACGCCTCCAGCCTGCAAAATCTGCTCACGTGGCCGATGCCCAAGATTACCTTTTGGGTTCCAGTCTCGCCGTGACCAGCCGAGCCCCAGGCCAGTTCTCTTTCCTTCCACTGTGGTAGGTTATCGTGATGTCAACATGATTGAAGAGATAGAAAGTATTCCGCTTGTTGAACTCAGACTGAAAGACATTAAAGCGACTGTTAAATGTTTCAGAAGCTTTGTTTGCAGCACATTGTTATTTGTTACCGGTAAATAACACGGCACAACCCAAATACATGCACTCAGTTCACCTGTCACAGCTTCCAGTTTGTGCCAATTTTAAATGGGCTCGTCTGCATTTACCTACTGCTTGAAACAAATGAAAACAAAATGTGTTAAATTATCCTCAAAATATCATTTCTCAACTCACTTTTTTATTTCAACATGTATTTTGGTATTTTCTGAACCAAGGACTGCATCATTTATTTATTTATTTAGAATTTTTGTGTGCCGTCCCATCGCATGAGCCTTGGGATGGTTTATATACAATAAACAAACATAATACAAATATAATACAAATCGTGCAAATAAAATCCAGATTCACCCTGGCTGCAAATTAAAGCCTATAAATGATATTAAAATTGTTAAAATATTGTTTAAATAAAAAGGTCTTAGTCTGGCGCCGAAACACAAATAACAAATATCATGAAATTCACAGGAGTACCAAGTTCAAAGGTTAACTCCCTCCCATTTCGCACACTCATCCAGGCGGTCCATCCACATTTAAATCCCTGCTGGATCAGACCACAGGCCTGCCCAGTCCAGCATTCTCCTTGCACAGTGGCCAGCTCGGGCATGAGCTGTGCATGAGTGTAACATCAGCATCCTGCCTGTGTTTCCCAACAACAGTGATGCGCCGGATCCTGGAGGTGTTATGTGGTCATCACAGCACAAAGCCATGGATAGCTGCATCCTCCATGAATCATGTGACAGCAACTCCCACAACCCATGTCTGTGTGAAGAAATGCTTCCTTTTATCTGTCCAAAATCTCCCACCATTCACTTTCCCAATGGGCCCGCTGGGTTCTAATGTTGGCGGAGAAAAACAAAAACTGGTGTCTTGTTTACAACAGGCAAGACTCAAACAATTCCTGTAAGTTTGACTAAGAACGCCTTGCCATGCCGTGTCTGGGGTAATTTGTCCCTTTCTCTTCTGCATGCCAACTGCCCCTTCATTCAGATGTGGGATCACAGTCTAGGAAAGGCCTCTGAGTCAGCCTGCACAGGGATCTGCCATGCAAGAGACAGAACCCCAAAGCTTCCTTGGGCATGTGGAAATACTGCACAGTACTCTGGATTCTGGCCAAGCTGGGGTATAAGCGATCTCATGCAATTACTAAGGGGACCCTTGAAAGAGGTTTGTCCATTCCAAATAACACTGAGCTGAGTGAAACTGATGAGCAGGAGGTGTAATGGATGTGAAACTGACTGCTATGAAGACAGGCACTAGCTTAGACGCCAAACTGGTGGTCATTCCCAGGTCCAGAAATTGGCTTGCCTGTTCTGGAAGGGGATGCGGCCCCCCTCAAAGAAACAGGCACGTAATTCGTCAGTACTCAAGTCCATCCTTGTCACTTAAGTCCCGGTGACAGGAAAACCCTCTACTAACTTCATTACGATGTCCAGTGTGATGCACTGCATGTCGTAATTCTTCATTCTATATTATGTGTCCATTTCAGCTGCAGTCTTTATAGTATTCTATGCGTACACTCCTCGAAATTTTATTATTTTATATTTAATTCACCGAATTCATTATAAATGGCTTATACGAGGGGCGTACAATGTATTCTCGGTATTGGGTTGATTTACTATTGATGTGGGTAATTTAATTATTTCATTAGCTAATGAACTATCTGAGGGTATACATGCAAAATTTCAAATAAGTGTGATCATTAGTTCCCTAGTAATCCTCAGTGAAAGACGACCAAGATGACTGACGTGACAATGTTGAAGAAAATTGAGCACCACGCTGTGATTAAGTTTCTTACAAAACAAGGAAAAAGTCAAAAAATCATTCACGAAGAGATGGTGGGCGTTTACCAGGACTCTGCACCTTCATTATCTCCTTTTCAAAAGTGGTCAAGTGAATTTAAAAGGGGCAAAGGTTACTGCCACTTTGAAAGAAAATGTGAAAAAAACTGAGAAACTTGTATTGGAAGATGCCCGAATAAAAATCAAAATGTTAGCAGAGATGACAAACCTATCCGTTGGTACCATATTTACTATTTTTCGTGACCATCTTAACCTTTCAAAGGTCTGTGCAAGATGGGTGCCACGAATGCTCATGGCGCCTCAGAAACAAGTGCAAGTCGAGTGTTGTAGGGAGTTTTTAGAGCTCTGTGGTGAAGATCCATCAAGTATTTCTGACCGGATTGTTACTGGAGATGAAACTTGGGTTCATCACTATGACCCTGAAAGTAAGCAGGAGTCCATGCAGTGGCATAAAAAAGGTGCTGACCCTTCGAAGAAATTCAAAGTCACTCCATCGGTCGGAAAAATCATGGCCACAGTGTTTTGGGACTCAAAGGGAATTTTATTGATCAAGTACACGAAAAAAGGTGAAACCATAAACGCAGCATCTTACACAACCACTCTGCGTAATTTAAGAGAAGCAATTAAAGAAAAAAGGCGGGGAAAACCGCAGGTGTGTTGCTTCTTCACGACAACGCGCCCGTTCACACAGCGCGTGTTTGGAAGGCTGCTGTGTGATACTGTGGTTTCAAAGAAATAAACCACTCACCCTATAGCCCGGACCTGGCCCACAATGACTACTACCTATTCCCGAATTTTAAAAAAGATCTTCATGGAAAGCGATTTTCTGACAATGAAGAGCTCAAGGCAGCAATTAACTCACATTTTTTAGACAAGGAGGAAGGGTATTTTTTACAGGGCATTGAAAAGTTAATTTCTAGATGTAATAAGTATATAGAAGTTATGGGGGATTACATTGAAAAATAAAAATTATTTCAATTTATTATTCCTTTTTCTTCATGCTGACACCGAGAATACATTGAACGGCCCTATGTTAAGCAGAAAAATTAAAGCGGACTAGATGCATTCATGGAGGAGGAGAAATCTATCCATACGTATTACTTGGGAGGGCTACGCAACAATGGAGCAAGCCCTCCTTTGATTTTCAGTTGGAAAGAATATTGGGAGTCCCTCCAAAATTCAAAGGAGAGTGAAAAGGGAAGCGTGGGGGCAGGCAGCAGAAACTGACCAGAACTGCCCATTACATGCTCTTTCTCTCCAACTGACCCCTCCGACACAACCTTTTGTGCGCCTCTTAGCACCCCGAGATGGTTACCTGCTTTATTTCAAATACACCATGGAAAGCAGTCTTGAATTGAGGCACACAATGAGGCACCCCAACACCTAGAATTAACATCTAGACACCTCAGCACCTATAATGCCCATTCTTAGGACAAGCTAATAAAGCTACGTTGCTCTGGGAAGCCTCCTGCAGAACTATTTTCTCTTTAAAAAAAAAAAAAAAAGCTTAGGGTAGCTTCAAGAATAGAAAGCAATTTAAAACTGCTTTGGAGGACAAGTTCTCAGCCTTTCTGCAAAATGTGTAATGCTGAGAAAAGGTCTCAAACTACTTTTTGGCCACAGTTGGAATCTGCCTCTTTTGGACACAGCCTAAATAAAAAGAGTAGAAAGCAAAATGCCCCCACCTTTGCAAAGTAAGCTTCTCAAGAACATCTATGGCAACGCGTCGCCCCTTGATCATTCTCAATGGGTTTCTTGGTCTTATGCCTCACCAATAGTATCTTCATAACCCATATGATTTGCCAGGGCACAAAAGACCCTGGGGAGCAATTTCCAACCAGAGATTCTCATTCCAGAGGCACTAATTGGACATTCTTGCCAGTACAGACCTTGGCCATGTTTGCCTGATCACCAGAGAAGGGCTCCTTTTCCCCACTGGTATGTGCTGGTCACGCACTGCACAAGTTCCCTAAATACACTCACAGCACGCAGGTTGTTGCGCCATCCAAACCAAGCAGGGGGTACAGGACAGGTGCCTTTCAACCACCTCAGAACCGATGGCATCTTGCAGGGTGCGGAAGCCAGCTCCTATGAACCTCACCAGGTCTGGAGGACGTAGCCCCTCAGGGGCAGCAAAGGAAACTGAATCATGTAGCACACAGCTGTGGGGGAGGGGGCACCTGGCTATTATGCTGAGAGCTGCTGTAGGTCCAGAACCACAAGCATTCAGCTTGCACAGGGCTTTTGGCCATGAAGGGCATACTCTGAGACGGCCAGAAGAACTTCCAGGAGCAAATGCGTAATATCTGAAGTACCCCAAGAATGAAAATCTGTTGAAAAGAAGTTTCAGAACTAAGAACTATGTTATCCACGGGCTTAATAAGACTTGGGGAAATGAAACACAGCTCTATTCAGATATTTTACATTGTGTTTTAGGATTCACTTTTATGTGTTATCTTTCATCTTAAAATATTTATTTCTAGGAGGTTTTATTGGAATAGATTCTCATTTACAGCTTACTGTTAGCTCTCTTCCAATGGCCAAAATTTAATTTAAAGCATTTGAAGTAACAAGACATTATCAACAGAGCAATCTAATAACTCAACAAGTGGCACTTTGCTACCATTTCCAACCAACGTCCATATCAGAATGAAAGACAAAGTTTGCAATCCCAATGCACCCTTATCCAGGAGTAGGTCTCACTGAGGTCCATGGACCTATTAGAGCAGGCTAAACCAGCCTTCACAATGCTATGTTGTCTTGACCTTTTGGACTACAACCCTTGTCAGCCCCAACCAGCATGGCTACTCATTAAGGATGATGGGTGTTATAGTCCAAAGCATCTGGAGGGAACCAGAATGGGGAATGCTGTGCTAAACCATAGTTCAACACAACATGCACCAACAGGAATGGACCACAGCAAGCTCCCATGTGATTAATATTAAGTGATGGAAGTTTAAATAGGCTACCTCCAGAAGCCACACTTCAGCATTGGCTTCTTTTAAATTAACAACTAACATTAGCCACATCTTGTGGAAGACAAGCCAGACCATGGCTGAGGAAAAATAAAAGTAGTATTGGGTGGCATAAAAATGTAATAAAGAAAATATGTGAAACCATCCAGACTCCCCCTTCTGGTCACATGGGAAAATCCGAGCACAAGCATGTCTGTGCTCACAAACATGATCTTGCAAGATTAGTGAAAATGGTCTTTTTGGTGTGTGTCCTCTTCCTCCTCTATGTGGAAATTCTGCCAAACCCACACTTACCCAACCGGTTCTGCAAACCAGCTGCGAGCCACAGCTTCAGAGCTTGGTTGGAAAGCCGTTTGCAACCCACAGAATGCTGTTGGTTCGGATGTCATATCAGTTCTTGTACCTGTACCTGAAATCTTAGCTAACAACATTAGAGAAGTATCCGTCGCCCACTTACATTAATAATGCAGGCATCTTTTTCCCGGCCATCTGAAGCAACAAAGCATCCTATTGGAAAGCCTGGATTGCAGTATTTGTGTCCATCGTCCATGTCGTAACACCATGTCACGGGCATGTTATCAATAATCCTAAGCAAGAAAGATGTTGAGAGTTAGACTTAGACTTTTTCTGCACACGTTGGGCACCATTCACCTGATCACCTGCCCAAGCCTAACATCTCGTGTCATCAGAACCTGGCTAACATGGCATTTTGAAAAACCCTCAAATAACCCAAAACAGTCTATCGATTATTTGAGGTTTTGTTTGCCATGCTGCCTGCATTTGAATAACGAACCACTCCTGGGTAGGTATATCAATGGGGCCCAGCACAAGCCACCTTTAGATTATGTAAACTGAGCCAACATAACCGCTCACCAGTGATGCTGATAATTCAACTGCATTCCTTTCTTCAAAAACTCCAGCTTAACTTTTTCCGTTGCATTCTTTGGGTTGTAAGATCTTTCACAGACCTTCTTACATTTTTCTTCTTTGTTAAATGTAAACTGGTAGAAAAACAGAAGGGGTTTAATTCTTTTGCTCCGTGCTGTTGAAAGACACGCTTGATCCTCATTCAAGATTGCCATTAAATAATGTTATAATGTAAAACCTGCCCTTTGATATTTAACATCTTTACATTCTACAGTTTCATTTTCTGTTCAATGCACCTGAAAAATCTTTTCTCTTCCTGTGTGTGTGAGTCCGTGTGTTCCCAACACAGTTTTACAGGAGTTGTATACCATATAATCTCTTCCAATAACTCAGAGACTCTCAACTTCCATTTTCAGAAAAGTTTCTAGCTATTGTAAACAGGTAAACTGAACAGTAAATGCACTCAAGAACTGAAAACAAGGCTTCATTCACTGAATATTTTTCTAAATCTGCATAAGAACTGTCTTTCTAGTCAATCTGGTCTGATGCCCTGTTTCTCTCAGCAGCAGTGTTCCTAAAAGTTTTAATTAAATATCTTTGCCCTTGCAGCATCTCCTGCATTCTTCATCCAAACCACACAAGAGGTATTTTTTCCATGCCAACAGACAAGAGGAAACTACCCCTTATTATCTCTAAGTAGTATTTTGTGCAACTTACTGCAGAACCAAAAGTACATTGCGGCATTGTTATCAACATAGCAACCCAGTATGCATGCTTCCAGAAGGAACCACACAAAAGACTCAGTTTTCATTGCCCAATATTTCACTATAATGCCTGAATGTGAATGAACCAAGCATAAATTCAACACAATAAAAATGGATTTAGTTTCTCAAAACAAGTTCTCCAAGTAGGACTGAAAGGCTGCAATAACCTTGTAAGGGGATGAGGCTATTCTCTCTCCAAACAAGACTTGCCCGAGGTTTTCAGAAGGCCTTTGTTCTGCTACATCTTGACAGAAGTCAAAACTATGAACACAATAATAAAGAATTGTCCTTAACATTGTAAAAGTTGTTATTTAAGTAACTTCTATAGTACCCAAAAGGCAAAGCACTCTGGAAGGTCAACAACAGTTAGGAACCATGATGCAGTAAAAACAATAATATTTTCAATAACAGAGTTTTAAAATACTTTAAAATTAAAACATTTCAGCAACTAAGACAATATTTAATACAAAACAGTCTTGTTAAAAGCACCAAACAAAGGCATGCCCATTGGCTTTTAGATATTTCTAAATTCCTCAACACCGAGGACTGTCTTAACCTTGGGTCAGAACTGGCAACTGGTATGCCTCAGTGTGGAAATCGTTCCATAACCAAGGGGCCACCACTGAAAAAGCTCTTCCCCTTGTCACCACCCTCCAAACTTCCCTTAGAGGTGACACTCAGAGGAAAGCTTTGTGGGTTCTTAGTTCAGAAATATTCATTTGATAAATGCTTTTTAAGTTGTAGATAATGTGGTGTTCAGAGACCACAGTTAAGTTTGCATGACTAGATTTGTGTCATCTATTCTGTTTCCTGAAGGATAGTTTGTTTGCTTGCTTATTTTTAATTAAAGTCACACTAATAACCCATCACTAGCACGAAAGGTTGTCCAGCCATGATGGGTTGTTGTACCATCCAAATCCAGGGTATTTATATCCCATCTTTTTACCTGTGAGGAACTTACAGAATCCGTCTCCAGTTTTATCCTGTAACAACCATATGAGGCAAGTTGGACTGAGATTCAGTTACCCACCCAAAGTCAACCAGTGAGCTTCANGCCAAAAAACAAATCACACCTAATAAACTACAAACCTAAACTGCTAGCCTACAAATCTAAAGTACTAAAAGCAAAACAAACACCTATAGGGCTAACTAACTAAGAAAATACAAATAAAGGTAATGAAATTAAAGCAAACAACAACTATCTCTCCAAACCTAAGCACTAAGCCTCCAACTCCTCTCTCCTCCGCCCTTCTCCACTCCTCGCCTCACAACTCCACAAAGAGCCCAACGGTCCAACGGTCTCTCAGGGCCAGTGGAAGTCGGCAGTGCCATGGCAATCGGAACCACAACACTGGGGAGCATCCTCTGAGATGCCAGGTGTGGCTTTGCATGGCTGAAAAAGGCCTCGCCAGGGGTCTGCTGGGGAATGATGTGGGGCCCAATGGATCTGGTGATCCACAAGGCAGCCCACAGTCTTACACCACTATCAGTGGGTTCACTGATAACTCAGAAAACTGAGGTGAAATAGGAATTGGGCGCCTCTGCTGTTCCCTTGTTGTTTCTTATCACTCTGCCATCACTTTAAGAAGCTGGGCACCCTTCTCTTTCTCATGTCTTATGTTCTAGATGGGGCTGATGGTGGCTTTCTGGTTGTTCTTAGCATCCCCTGCTATTCCCAGTTCATTTCCTGCTTTCCTGCCTCTCCTGGCTATTGGTTTGTACTCTCCCTTCATGGCCCGGGCCTGCTTCCACTTCCTCTACGTGTTGTTTTTTTCCTTTCAGGTGGTGGCTTAACGCTTTGCGGAGCCACATGGCCCCCCTCTGCTGCCTCCCACACGGTTCTTGATGGAATTTTTCATGGTTGTTCTTGCAGAATCTTCTACAAGATTTCCCACCCCTCTTGGACTCCCTATGCCCCAAGAGTGAGTTGCCATGGCATTTGGCTGGTCATTGTCTGAAGTTTTTAAAGTTGGCTTTCATGAAGCCCAGGGTGCGTATTTGGCTCCCATTTCCCTTTTCCTCCTTTAAACGAGCCTCGGGTGGTTGGGCAGTAGAAAACAAAATGGATGGCAAAGGAGAGAGCCAGTGGATAAACCAGAGGATCGACCTCGCTGGGTCCGTCCTTAGGCCCCGAGAGCCCCTGAGGGCACCCTGAGAGGAGGCCCCGTGTGTCCTGGGAGGGGGAGAGCTGCTGGGGCGCCAGGCCGAGGGGAGACCGACTCACATCGCCACGTGCATCCCCCCCCCCCGCAGATGCGCCGGATTGCTGCTCCGCCAGCGCGAGCGGGAAGCTGCCAACGCGTCCTCCGAGAAGGCCTGGCTATCTGGGGCCCTCCAGGGCGCCTGTGCCATGCACACGGCAACCGGCCCGGCCCAGGTCCAGCCCTCTGTGGGCTGCTGGCAGAATCTGGTTTTTCAGTTGGTGATGAGGAAATCGAAACTGGGGTTTGTGGTAAAGATCAACCGTTGGAACCTCTATTGTTTTATTTTCTGGCGCCCCAGGACCTGCAGGAACTGACGGTGATGCATTACAGGGCAGAGGGAAACTCAGCTCCAGATCTCAGCACATGTACAGGCCCTTGTATAACCTGCCAGGCAAGGACGCCAATGCAGAGTGTGGTGTGTCCAGATAATCTTAGTACAAGAGCACCCTGATGTCTTTAGGCATGGCAGAATATTCTAGAGCATTCGGAAGGTCTGTAAACGATTGTATGGAAAACAGCACTGATTGCTGGACAATGGAGGAGGCACTGAGGAAGTCTGGTCTGAGAACTGCACTCGGCCTGCCTCGCTTGGACTTAGGTGGGCTCGTTCAGAAGCAAATGGCGCCCTCGTTCAGCTCTGCCAGGTGCAAGCCTCCAGCAGTTTCCCACTCTAGCTAATACTGTCATCTTCTTAAGGCAACACCGGTGACCTGGCCAAGAAAGCTGCGCCATGGGAGAAAGAGGTGCAGGTTTTGTTTTAACACAAAGGCATGTGTAAGCAACTTTTCTCTGCCAGGATGTATCCAAATTCCCCAACACCGCACACACAGGCATGGGAGCCCCCTCGGCACAGGAGCCCGCCAAGCAACCATGCGGGTGGCCTGCAACGCCCAGCATGCATCTGGAGCCCCGGAAGCCTGGCTCACCCATACGCGGGTCTCCTCCCTGGCCCACGGGTGCGGCTGTTCTCCTGAAATGTGCTGTATGTCACAGGAAAGAAGATGACCCTTGAAGCCGAAAAGAGCGTGGAAACAATTCAGGCTCATCTTATGCGCCCAGCACATGGGGAACTGCAGGAAACGTGCCCCAGCATCGGCCTCATCTCATACGCCGGGTTGTACAGCATTTTCCTGTGAGTGTGGAAGGGCACACTGTCATTCCCACGCTGTGTCATGGGACGAACACGGGCCCTGTCCCTTGCGGGCAGGTGCACACATGCATGTAAGCCATCCAGAGCCACACGCCCTGCCCACCACACTCAAGGTGGGTCCCAGGTTTGCAAATGCACCTGGGTGTGAGGGTGGCGGAGGCTGCCGCCACCAATAATTCGTGTGCGGTGCCTCGAATCCACCAAGTCTGCTGCAAGTGAATATTTCCTCATTGGCAGAGTCCAAGCCCAACCACTGAGGTTTTTCCAGAAACTGCCACTGAGTTTGAGGGCTGTTCCATTATATTGAGGCCCCCTTTTTCCCAACCCCATCCCTAAGTGGAGAGTTTCACTGCACTACTCAGAAGTTAGTGTCTTTCAAATGCAGAACTTCAGGTCTCGGGCTGTTGCAGATCTGTAATATTGACGTCCTTGGCCCTGCAAAGGAGGCCACGGTTTACGGACCCCTTGTCTGCCTGAAACATTTGACTGCAAGCTGTAGGCAGAGAGGAGCTCCTATGCAGCTTTCACTGACTTCTCTGGGACTGCCCAATGTAGTAGCCTGATCACGTTGTTTTCTCGTCCGTCGCAACTGTGCATGCAGCCCCCTCCTCCCTATCCGAACCCTCAAGTGGGACTTTCACTGCAATACATCCTCGCCATTGTAATTCATTTCTGCTCATACAACAGCAGGACATGCAGGTCTCGGGTTGTCTGTTTGGACCAAATAGCTGGAAGGTCACTACCCGATACCCTCGAAAGCATTCCTCCCCTCGGATTATAAAGTTAAGCAAATATCAAACAACTACCCCTCTGCACACATGCGCGCGTGCACGCGCGCGCGCACACACACACACACACAGATTTACGATTCCATTTGGTGAAGACATTGGCGTGACTTTGGACTTAAATTGAAGGAAGTAGGAAAAAGCACTTGGCCACTCAGGTATGAGCTAAATCAGTGGTTGGGATCCTGTGGCATACGTGCCACAATGGACACGCAGAGCCCTCTCAGTCGGCACGCGAGCCAAGCTGCCCCAGGAACACCCCACCAACTGAACATCGGATAACAGCTCACATCCGGGCCATGTGCATGCTCGGAAAGGAGAAGCGGCGCCAGACGATGCCATCATTAGCCATGAATTGTCCGAGCTTTCCCATGGCCAGTCAGTGCACTGCCCAGGATATATATATATATTTTTGCTTGGCCTGACGGTGAGTTCCTTTTTTCTAAACTAAAACCTCAGTTTTCAGGTTTCATTGCAGTTTTGGTACTTTGCAATAAATAAGTGGGTTCAGGGTTTCAGGTGTTCTGGCATGATTTTGATGATTGGAATGTGTTCAGAAGGGGCAAAAATGTTGAGCCGTTCAGAAAAAGCTACTCAAGGAAGGCTTTTTCAAAATCAACCCCTTTTCAATGGAACTTTCACCATGTGCTAGGGTAGGGGTGTGCAGAAGGGTAGGGTTTTGGTTAGATAAATGAGGTGTCCTGGTACGATTTTGATGGTTGAAATGTGTTTAGAATGGGCAGAAATGTTGAGGTGTGCAGAAAAGGCTACTCAAGGAAGGCTTTTTCAAAATTGCCCCTTTCAATGGTATTTTACCCGTACATTAGGTTTGGGTGAGTGCACCAGGGTAAGGGTTCGGCCAGTGGTGGCGAACCTTTGGCACACGTGCTGCAGCGGGCATGCAGAGCCCTCTGTCTCGGTATGTGAGCCAGGGCACCGCAGCATCATGCCAGCAGCCAAGCATCGGATAACAGCGCACACAGGGGCCTTGCGCAAGCTCGGAAAGGAGTAGCAGCACCAGGCAATGACGTCACAAGCTGAGTCTCATTAGCAACCACTCATCGAGCTTTCGCATGGCCGGTCTGTGCCCTGCCATGGATAAAGGTAAAGGTAAAGGTTTCCCCTTGACATTAAAGTCCAGTCATGCCTGACTCTAGGGGACGGTGCTCATC